ATTATACGCTTAAATGCGTCTTAAAAACTTGCCTAACCTTGCTTTAATAGCAAAGTAAGAAACGTTTAAAATTAAACAAAGAGACGTCTTAGCAGCAGACTACCTTTGCCGTCTAGTAGGCAATAGTTCTATAATTGATAGGCAACAAACGGCCGCTATTGCCTTTGTCTTACCTTGCTAGTAGTTAGAAGTTATAAGCCTTGCGCCGCCGTTTTCAGTTAGCGCGCACTGCACCCTAGTGCCCCTAGTGTCTAAGGCCGGCCCCCTCTTAACACCTATTAGCGGTAACCCAAGCGTTCCCTAACTAGGATCTAAGCCGCACGCCCCTAGGGAGCTCCTACAAACCGGACAACCCTTGCATTAAGCAGGATCTGGCGTCTACTGCCGCCATAGACCAAGCAGTATATATGCGCTTCCATGTTACCCGAATGTAGTCGCACTAGCGAGCGGTCCGCGACCGCTCGGCGACAGCTAATAACCTAGGGCACTTGACTCTTTTTCCTACCTTATACAGGAGGTTTTTTAACGAGCAAGTAGCTACTGCGTGTGCACCTTTAAGCTGACGAGGGCGTTACTTAGGGAGGAGGGGAATAGTATAAGGGTATTCTACACACGTAACCCTACGCACCGGTTTGGCAACTAGTTGCTTACTAAGCGTCGGACTTAACAAACTATCTTGACGTGTTGCACGGGACTAGCATAGCTACTAAGCTGCGCTACGCCCTACTAGGGTTGCGCTACACTGCATCTTCTAGCCACGTATAAATTAACTAGCAGGCCTTCGCCTACTAGTCCCCTATAGTTCGTTAAGTTAAAGTCTTAATATAATAGTATAAACTAGTTAAGCCTTTGTGACTACGCATTGCATACTAGCCCCTTACAATAACCTAGAGCGCTTAACTCTTTTTCCTAACTTTATAAGAGGAGGTTTTTTAACGAGCAAGTGGCTGCCGCGTGTACACCTCTAGGCTAACAGGGGCGTTACCTAGGGAGGGGGGGGATAGTGTAAGGGTATTCTACACACGCGTCCCTACGCACCGGTTTAGCAACTAGTCGCTTACTAAGCGATGGACTTAACGAACTATCTTAACACGTTGCACAGGACTAGCACAGCCACTTAGCTGTGCCACGCCCTACTAGGGTTGCGCTACACCGTATTTTCTAGCCACGTATATATTAGCTGGCAGGCCTTCGCTTACTAGTCTCTTATAGTTCGTTAAGTTAAAGTCTTAATACAATAGTACAAACTAGTTAAGCCTTCGTAACTACGCATTGCACACCACCCTTTACAGCTAAGGCTAGACACTTTAAGCTAAAGGATTTACGTAGCATCCGCGCCTTTAAACTAGAAGAGGCGTACTATATTAACCTAGGCAACTTTAAGCACATAGCACTAGAAGGCGTTAAATACTTTTTAGTAATTAAAGACAAGTTTATAGGCGTGTTAAAGGTGCTTACGCATAAGCGAAAGTCAGAAGCACCAGCCGCAATTAAAGCGGCAATTAAAAGAAATGCGAACGTATTAAGGTATGCCTCTACGGATTTACGTCGATAACAGCACAAATATCTTGATTACTTTTCTAGAGCGCTATTGCGCTACTAGGGGCACTAGACTAGTGCCTAGCCCTGTCTACAACTTAGCCGAGAACGAGGGAGCAGAGAGAGCTATAAAGGATATTGTAATATGCACTAGATTGTTGCATCTATAAGGCAGAATCCCGTTAGCCTTATGGCCTAAAGTCTGCCTAAGCGCAGCCTATATCCACAACCACGTCGCTAACAGCTAAGAGGAAGTTCATATTGCTAAATAGCATTATAATAGCGACCGAAAAGACTTTATTCTTAACGTCTTTTACCTTTGCACCGTCGGAAGCAGAGTAATCGTAAGGATCCCTAACTAGGTAATTTAATAAAAGAGCACTAGCAAGCTAGAAGAGAGAGGCGAAGAGGGCATGCTTTTAGGGTTTAAAGGCACACACCTATACCGAGTCTGGCTTATTGACAGACAAAAGATGACTGTTACGAAGGACGTGCACATCTTTAAGGACATGGTAGATAACGCTAATTTAATCAAATCGTGGCTAAAGGGAGTATAGAGACGCAGTAAGAAGATAACTATTAACGAGAAGGAGCTCGAGCACGACGTCGTTATGCTAGTTCCTGACGCTAACGTTAAGGGGGAGTATGGTAAGCTCCCTAATAATCCAGAGAATACGTTTAACTTAGAAGATTTCGACGAGCCTTTTCGCGAAATATCTTGCATCACCGCCATGCCGTAGGCATTAGCAAGTTTGATCAAAACAACAACAGCATAGAATTCGATCGAGACGAGCGCCGCACCGCTGGCGTAGGACGTGTGCACCACGTTCGAAGTCAACGATACTGCTACGACAAAACCTTCCTCCACTTCCCCTTATAGCAAGCATTGTGCAGCCAACTAGAAACCTATTAATCCCGACAAACTCTCCGTTTTAAATGCCTTGTTAGGCCTAAATGCACGCCCTTAGCGCGAAGCTATATATAAGGAAATTAACAACTTAATAAAGAGGGACGTGTTTAGATTTATAGACCGTCCTAAGGATAGGAAAACCATTATGAGTAGATAGGTACTCTAGCAGAAGAGAGAGATAGATTAAGAAGAGATTAAAAAGAAAGCTAGACTAGTAGCTTAAGGCTTCTAGCAAAGACAAGGAGTCGATTACAACAAGACCTTTGCTTTAACCTTTAGAGCAGATTTATAGCGCATGCTAGTGGCGTTGTTAGCTTAGTTCGGGTAGACGTTACGCTAATTCGACATTATTGCAGCCTACCTTTACAAACTGCTAGAAGAGGATATATATAAAGTAAGGGGAGTTATTTTATAAATACTTTAAGTCTTAACCTAACGTTGCGCGCTGCCTTAGGTAGGCACGTTATAAGGTTATTTGGTTGTAGCAAGCCTTATACGGTCTTAAATAGGCAGGTTACTAGTGGCAGAAGAAGTTAAGAGAGATAATGGCTAAGGTTAGCCTACAACCTCTCTTAACTAACCTAGCGACCTATTATAGCAAGGGGATTACTGTTGTAACCTATATTAATAATGCTCTATACGCAGGCAAAGACAAGGCGCTAACTAAGTTTGAACTAGAAATGTAGCAACTCTTAGAGATAGAGATAACAGCTATACTTAAATAGCTACTAAGAGTTAAAATCGGTATTACTATAGTGCTAGGAGGCACCTAGATTAGCCTCTCTTAAAAGTCTTATCTTTACAATTTACTTTAAACTAAGAGTATAAACAATGCTTATTTAGTAGTAACACTAATTACTAACATAGTAACGCCTAACAAAGATTAGCCCTTAGCTAACACCTAGCACTACTAGCACGTTAACAGGAAGTTAATCTACTTAGGGGTAATAACTAAACCTAACTACGCTTTTGCTATACACTAGCATTTAAAAGTTATAAAGTCTCCTAGAGAGACTTACGCCCGCTTAATTAAATGTGTGCTATAGTATATTCGCAGTAAAGAAGAGTTCGCGATTGTTTTTACCCGCCAACAAGCACCGCCTAAGGGGCACGTTACCGTTAACGGCTAGGTCGATGCCTCCTAGGCAGATAACCCTGTTAATCGCCGCTCTACTTACGGCTTTGTGTTTAGAATAGCTGGCGGCCTAGTCTTGTGGTGCGCCAAAAAGCTACCCACCGTCAGCACTTCGACGTATAAAGCTAAATACGGCGCGGCGTACTTCGCCACGACGCAGGCCAAGTGGATCGAACAATTCCTTCTAGAGTTAGGCTTTATAGCGGACATTACGCTATTCGTGGACAACAACTCCGCGATCAGCCTTACTAAGAAGCTAGAGTTTCAGGAGCGATCAAAGCACTTTAATGTCAAATGGCATTACTTTCGGGAGTGCGCTTTGAGCGGTTTACTGACGGTGGAATACGTGCCGTCAGAGGATCAAATTGCTAACATCCTGACCAAGGCCACGCCGAAAGCGACGTTCGAGCGTCTGCTGCCCCGTCTGATGGGCTGGGAGCCCTGAGTGAAGGAGCTTTTTGGAGGCTATTCAGAGCCTCGTGTTCACAGTTTTCTGCACAAGCAGAGGAAGCCTTTGGCTTCATTTGGTGATCTTGGGCTGGGAGGATAAACGGTCTATAACACGTGCGCCATTCAGGGGGAGTGTGAAGCTCTAGAATGGAGCGCACTGTGATCGTTCTGACTAATGCCAGCAACGCGGCCTCTCATTGGTCAGACAGATAAAAGTGGGGACTAACCCCAGTGAAATCTCTGCACCAGTGAAGGCGCGCCATGTACCCTCTCCTAGCTAGTTACAACACGCAGATCATCAGCCACATCGTGAAGACCCCATACAGTGCACCGCTACCCCTGCCATAAGCATTAGTTGTGACACATATGTATAGCGATATCGGTGGGGTTACATAATCCGTGTCGAAATCTGGGGTATGGAGCATTTACCTTACTAAAGGCTGTGGCGCAGCTCGGCGGCTGACTGAGCATCCTTAATGGTTTGTCGAGTAGACATTTGCACATAGCAGCCGATTCCACTCACAATCATCAATACCCATCTACCGGACGCGAGCAAGGACTCTGCATACAAGCTGACAATAACTACGTTGCATAGGGTAAAGAGATCGTTGTCTTGTGCTTGGATACATGGTAATCAATGACAACGCAGTTTTAAAAAGCACGAGGAGATCGATGATGCAAGGCATTTCTTTCTAATCCGCCCATTTCCATTATCTCCACCTCTCTGCCCGGGTTTCCATCTTATCTGCCAGCATGACTTGGGCATTGTCTCGACGCCAGTTTTCTCGGGCGTTAAATAGCAAGTTTATATATGGCTATATTGTCTGTACCCCTCTCTGTTTTTACAGAAACTCCAACAATTAAAACAGCAGCGAAACGAGAGCACAGAACACGTCGAGAGGGAGGGTAATATATACTGACTTAATATAACAGTCAGTTTCTCATTGTATCATTTTATTTATCGAAATGGCTATCATCGCAAGGCTGGCTACAAGATTTAATACTCGCTACGAGGAACGGCCTGGTAAGTCTAACATTAACCGGTTATTTGTGATTTGTTAACAGAATTCCTAATATTTTGCTCGCAGTTCTTACCATGATGGTAACAAATGCTGTGCTTGGTGGTATCGCCGACACAGTTGCTCAATCGATCACTTCTATTCGAACTCGTCAACAGTCTCTTGGGAGAGACGCAGATGCGAAAGACGACACCCACAACATCGAGATTTGGGAAAGAAACAAGCAGAGTGTTATCATTGATCGAGAGCTCATACCAACAACCAAATTGCTTGCGCCGCCATTTGACTTCGAGCGCCTTACCCGCTTCATGGCATATGGGTTCGGCATGGCACCTATACAGTTCAAATGGTTTCGTTTCCTCGAGAATTGCTTCCCTGTTACGAGCAAAAGTGCAATGGCCCCTTCTCTAAAACGAGTTATACTCGACCAACTGATATTCGCTCCTGTGGGTACGTGAAACATTACAGCGTTTAAAGAAGAGGCACAGCAAAAGAAAATAATAATAATGGTGGATATTCTTTCTCATCACCGACAGCTGATATTTGTTTATGACAGGCATTGCGTGGTTTTTTACCGTTATGACTGTCACTGATGGTGGTGATCATCGCGCGGTTCAGCATAAACTGCGCGACATGTTCGTACCTACACTAAAGGCCAACTTCATGATCTGGCCGGCTGTGCAGATTATTAATTTTCGCTTCATGCCGGTTCAATTCCAGCTTGTTCGTCACTGATCCCCCCTCCTCACGTTTCGGGGAGAACTAATATGAATGTTGCAGCCGTTTGTATCAACCATAGGTATAGCATGGACTGCTTATCTATCTCTCACGAATTCATCGGAGGACGTCCAAGAAAAGAAGTCTTTCATTCCAGATACCCCGAGAATGTGCTGACCACGAATGCCGTCGGCACATATGGAGACGAGTATACGAATCCAGCAGTAGCAGCTGCGTTGTCACCACGTTGTTGCATGAGACTTGTGCTGCACTGATATCTTATTGGCGCTTGTATTGGGGTGTGCTTCTACTTTCAAATTGGCGCATATACTGATTTATGCTACTTGCTTTGTGCTCGCGGCGTTATGACTAGGCAAGTTGAGTAAAATCAGCAGGCAAGTCATCTCATTCTACTAGTACGGCATGTGAATGACCTGACCCCATAATATGCTTTGGAAAATGTGGGCTTTTTAAAGATGCGTACGAGATGCAGACAGCGACAGAGTGGGCTGTCTGGAGAGCGAAAGGGAAGCACAGAGAAGCTATATGTAGAATAACGATCAGCTCATTGTCATGCTATGATATGGGCTTAGGGTACAAATATCGAGATAGTCAAATTACCGCACTAACAGCTTTATGGGTAAAAAAATTGACTTCAGATACTTGCCTATCGCGCAGAGCTTCAGAACTAGTACCTTTAACCCCGCACCTCTCAAAGTACTTGTGCTTTGCTCGCCTTTAACTGCCGCACCTTCCCGTTCTTTTTCTTCTGTTACTCTGTCTAAATCTACACAACAAGTACCGTGATCGAAACTCTTCTTCTGACTCACGCCTCCAATTACCTGATTTTTAAGGAAGCAGTATGTCTTTGTCAAACAAGCTATCTATCGAGGATGTCGATGTGAAGGGCAAGCGCGTCCTCATTCGGGTCGACTTTAACGTTCCCCTTGACGCCAACAAAAAGGTCACCAACACCCAGCGTATTGTAGGCGCCATTCCAACTATCAAGTATACTCTTGACCATGGAGCAAAGACGGTTGTCCTGATGTCACACCTTGGCCGCCCCAATGGACTCCCAAACCCGAAGTATAGTCTCGCCCCTGTCGTTCCTGAGCTGGAGAAGTTGCTCGGGAAGAAGGTTACCATCGCACCTGATAGTGTTGGGCCAGAGGTTGAAAATATCGTAAACAACGCGGCCGACGGCGATGTGATTCTTCTGGAAAACTTGCGCTTCCACATCGAAGAAGAAGGAAAGGGTGTTGACGAAAATGGGAACAAGATTAAGGCCGACAAGGAAAAGGTGGAAGGGTTTCGCGAGGGCTTGACAAAGCTTGGAGATGTCTACATCAGTAAGTCATTGGAAGTTTGCCGTCCTGCCTTCAAAGTCTGGTGCCCGCAACTATGACCTAGTCGCAACTTGCTGACACTGTTCGGACCACAGACGACGCGTTTGGCACGGCCCACCGTGCCCACTCCTCGATGGTTGGTGTTAACCTGCCGCAAAAGGCAGCTGGATTTTTGATGAAGAAGGAGCTGGACTATTTCGCAAAGGCTTTGGAGAATCCCAAGCGTCCCTTCTTGGCCATCCTCGGTGGTGCCAAGGTTTCGGACAAAATCCAGCTTGTCAACAACCTGCTCGACAAAGTCAACACGCTGATTATCTGCGGCGGTATGGCCTTCACCTTCAAGAAGACGCTGTACAACGTACCTATCGGCAACTCTCTATTTGACGAAGCCGGCTCAAAGACGGTGAAGGAGCTCGTGGAGAAGGCCGAGAAAAATGGAGTCAAGCTTGTGCTGCCAGTCGATTATGTCACTGCTGATAAATTTGACCCCAATGCGACCACAAGCACGGCGACTGACGAGGGTGGAATTCCAGATGGATGGATGGGATTGGACTGCGGCGAAGAGAGCATCAAGCTTTACCAGCAAGCTATTGATGAGGCCCAAACGATTCTCTGGAATGGCCCCCCTGGTGTGTTCGAATTTGAAAAGTTCGCGAACGGCACGAAGGCGACTCTTGATGCTGCCGTCAAGGCGGCCCAGGATGGAAAAATTGTCATAATTGGTGGAGGTGATACTGCGACTGTGGCTGCTAAGTACGGCGTTGAGGCCAAACTCAGTCATGTTTCGACGGGCGGCGGCGCCAGCCTAGAGTTGCTAGAGGGGAAGGCTCTTCCTGGTGTCGTTGCCCTGAGCACTAAATAGGTGCTATGTCTGTCATACTGGATTGAAGAGAACACATTTCTTCTTCAGCCTCTCAGATACCCGGTTAAATATATGCAACATCAATGCTAGGTTTAAGATACATATAGAGTTGATCGTCAGGCAAATACTGTTGCTCAGCTGTTCCAATGTACTACTATAAACCCGCCCAACCTCCCTCTTGAATATTATCTTCTCTTCGATGCGTCCACCTTTTTGAGTTCCTCTCTGATTGAAAACAGAGATAGTCAGTGTCCGTGAAGCAATATCAACTAATCACAATAAAAGAGGGCAAGGGGAGAGGGGTAGGCCTGTAAAGCCAGACAAGGATGGCGTGACATACTTTAGTTGTGCCGAAAAATCGTCACTAGTATCATCATCGTCCCATGACTCATCCCAGAGATGCTTCGTAGCTCCTTCACTTGCTGCTTCTGTTTCTTCAACGCTCCAGTCTAATTTGATACAGCCGTTAGCTTGGGAGCGTATGCCTATGGCACAACTGAGAAAAGCAGAAAATCATCCAGATATCGGGCAACTGCACATACCGTCAACAGGGAAGTCTTCAAACTCGTCATCTTCCTCCAGTGCAGTGGATTTCGGTGGATGTTGCTCAGGCTTTTGTTCGGATGTGGAAATCGGAAGACGCTCGCTGCCTTTCTCAGAGTTTGATGTTGGTGCCATTGTGACAAACGTATGTCAATTCTCTTCAGGTGGTATGAGCTTCCTTGCAGGTCTAAACCAGGTTGGTCAAGAGCGAGAGGAGTACGTCGTTGTGGTTGTTGCACAAGCTTTTTGTTAAGATGCAGTTTCCCAAGATACGATAACGATGGAAGAACAGGCAGTACATGGATGACAACACTCAAATAAAGCCGGAAGTCACCGCCTTCCAAAACAGGCAGCACTACGGAGTAGTAAGATATTATATCAATACTCGTATATTATTCCGTTACTTCGTTTCTCCGTACCAAGTATTTTTCCAACGCAAGTACGGAGTAATACGAGGTGATACCTAATCTGTAAGATACGTAAGATACATAAGATGCATACGAAACAGCCCCTGCTAAGAAATGAGATACTGAGACCAAAAAACGCAGGCTCATCAGCCGTAAGATACTGGCTAATTCTGAACTTTGCAACCAAACCGGATACATAGTGGTCACTTGCTGCACCCTCGATGTGGGATACATATCTCACTATGGAGTAGCTGTCCAGCATCTTCCGCAGTGGGCCGCCCTAGATATCCGACATACGACGGACATATACTCCGTATGGAACATCGATCGTCTTGTCGCTTACGAGTACATGGCTGATAGGAGCTAGTGAGGTATTTTATAAAAGGTGCACAACATATTGCTACTGTAGATTTTGTGGTCTCAATTGATAGTCTTACTTATGGTCGGCCCCACTCCACTACAATTAAAGCTGCTCATGGTAGATTAGTCCGCTGTGCCGCTGCCACAGACGGCGTTTTGGTCCTTTACCTTCGTTTACGGAGTACAGTTCTTCTCATTTTCTGTTCCTCAAACCAAGGCATATTAATTTTTCAAGGGAAGCATAATCGGGGCAATTGAACATGTCGCTTAGAAATTGGTTCCGTGGCGTCCCTGCTTCTACGCCGGCCGGAAGAGCAAGCTCTGGCCCCAGTCCGGTTGTCTCAGCGTCTACGTCTGCTGCCGCTATAGCAGACAGCGAGCAAGATGGCGAGATCCCAGATCTTGAAGATGCCATGGCGGCTACGGCACTAATATTGAACGGTGATATCAATGGGGCAGAGGCTCGGCTTCGACGGCGTAAAGATGGCTCTACTTTTCACCAACTCGGCCTGGGTATCTCCACTTTTGTGGCCTCCGTCCTTGGATTCGAAAAAGATATCATGGCTGAAGCTACGGCACGCCTCATCGATTGTGAGGCTCGCGCATGGGCCGATATGAAAAAAGCTCAGAAACAGGCAGCAATGCAGTCATCTACTCAACCACAACCGTCTGTTCATGGAAAGCCAGCCACTCAGACGTATCCTCCCGGCAGCGAGTTCGCTTTGGTGCACGCTGAGGCACAATTGATGCTGGCAATTATTGCTGTTCTGCACGAGAGCTTGACGGAAGCAATAAAGGGATTCTATAAATTGCGCAAAGTATATATCTCGCTCAACGGTATCATGGAGTCCGAAATTGCCTTTTTCAATCACGAAAATGGCATCACAGGAAAGATCGCAGAACGCTCAGCTCTAACAGAGGACAAAATGCCAGGCACGTTTGACGACGCCGAGTTTACCTCTGTAGAGTCAAGCGATAATAGTGATACTGGCCGTGTGGATGGTACCCGCGACGATTTCGTGGTTGGAGCAAACACACTAGACGCAATGAGGCGGATAGTAACGCCAAGAAATTCGCCGAAGTCCCGTGTCACCTTCCCTCATGCTGAAGAAGCAAATATCGGCTCTAAAAACGGTCACAATGATTTCACAGACTCAGTGGATATATTCGTGCATTCAGGCGCCAATATGTGTTTTGGCATTCTGTTGCTGCTAATTTTAATGGTCCCGCCTGCGTTCTCAAGGCTTCTCTACGTCATCGGGTTCAAAGGCGATCGCGATCGCGGTGTTCGTATGCTTTGGCGAAGCACTAAGTTCGATAATGTCAACGGAGGGGTGGCTGGCCTGGTTCTGCTGGCATACTACAACGGCTCCATCGGATACTGTGACATTATCCCCACGCAGGCAGATGTCAAAGAACTGGCTGACCCGGAGGAGATAGTCGGATACCCCCGGAAGCGATGCAAGAACCTCCTGGAACAAATGAGATCTCTTTACCCGGATAGTATGTTATGGAGACTCGAAGAAGCAAGAGCCCTGGCAATTGGACGAAACATTGAGGAAGCCATCGGCATACTTTCTATGGGCGATGCAGGACGCATGCGGCAAATTACAGCCTTGACTAAATTTGAGCTGGCGCTCAATGCTATGTGCGCTATGGATTGGCGCTTGATGCGCGACGCATTTCTGCACTGCGTAAAGCTCAATGACTGGTCGCACGCTTTATATTACTACAACGCCGGTTGTGCAGAGTTGGAGTTGTACCGTGATGCTTTTGACCAAGCCTCTTCGCTCCTGGACGAGGCCAAAAAGTCAGAGGCAAAAACCGCAGCTTCCAAGCACAAAAAGGCAGCCGAGGATTTATTTCGCCTGGCGCCAACCATGGCTGGTAAAAAGAAGTTCATGTCACGGCAGATGCCGTTCGACGCGTTTGTTATACGCAAAATCACAAAATGGGAGGAGCGTGCTAAAGCATTAAATATCGACCTAGCAGATTCGATAGGAGCAAGTCCTGCCCAGGAAATGATTTACTTGTGGAATGGTAGTAAAAGAATGCGTGCCAGATTTTTGGAGAAAGCTCTGACATGCCTTCGATGGAAGAGGTGTACGGCAGGTCTGGACGTAGTCAAGGTGTTCAGAGCCACAACAGACGAGTGGACCATGGGAAATTTGTGCCAGGTATCGTTGATGCGGTCGCTGGGACGAACTGAAGATGCACGAGTGGTGCTGGAACGTGATATATTAGTACACGACCGGTAAGCAATGAGGCCCTCGATAGCCTCGAGTCGCATATTACTAACAAGCTCATAGGACTTCCTTTAAAGGCCCCGGTAAAGACGATTACGTACTGCCAGCAGCCCACTATGAAGCTGCGGCTCTGTTTTGGCATGAAGCATGTGACCCTACTTTATACCCTTCTGATGTGAACGCCATTGACGCGTTTCGACACAGAAAAGTTGATGAATCTCAGGTGTATCTTGAGAAAGTGGTGAAGTGGGAAACATTTCTGCTGGATGCCCGTATCGGGATGAAAGTGCAGACAGGACTGGATACAATTCGATGGCTCAAAAGAAAAAAAAAACTGGACTTGAAGATAATGCAAGCAAAAAAATACCAGTGAGCTGTATTGCCGTCCTCATGTGTCGCGTCCCCGGTTCTTCACATATGCACCTAGCTAAAATCCCCGTCTCCCGCTTAAAATAAGAGTAAATAAATATGATATTGCTACTCCGTACTTAACAACATAATCTGAATGAGCTGAGCATTTTAGTGTCTGTGGCGTATGTGCAATCGTCTTTAGCCCGGTACCCCTGGTCACATCTGATCACAGTCATGCCGTCGCCTTTACATTGTTGTCTAATGTACTCCGTATGTGTATATAAGATGATACCATCCCACTGAAAAGTGGCAGCGAAATATTTGCTTTGAGCACCTGGACTATTTGGGTGTTTAAAGCAATAAGATACTCCGTAGAAACAAAGGGCTGTAAGCTTGTACAGTTTTGCATTACACATCCTCTCTCGCAAAACGCCATTTAGATCAACAAATAATTTTACCAGCGCGTAACTGAGAACAGAAAGAAAGTTACACAATAATAAACAAAACCTTGCTGCAATCTTCCTGCTATACTCCGTACTGATTGTCTAATAACGTTAGCAGTGTTGGTGGCGTCAGTGGACTGGCAATGATGTAGTCTTGTTGGAACTCATAACCACTGTTGTGCGACCCCAATTGAGTTCAGAGTCGTCGACCACAAGATTACATCGCCCTTCCCAACGATTTGTACTTGTGGCGTTAGGAATCACTTTAACATAAATATACATCGATAATTACAAAATGTTCCTTGAAGTCGAAGTCCAATTATGCGATGTTGTATCGTTATACTGATCATAATACACGACAAAAAAGATTGATTATCACTCGTTGGATCCACCGGATGCCCCCCTTCCAGCACCTCCCATCATTGACCGTGCCCTAGAATAACGAATACTTTGTTAGAAAAAAGACGAAAAATCGGCGAAATAAAACCCAACTTCAGTTTCACTCACATGTCTGCAATGTTTGGGTCGGACATCAGTGTTGACAAATCGGGCATTCCCCCTCCACCTCCAAATTGATTTGCCATATCCCTCAGTCGAGGGTTACTCATCAAGTTCGACATTAAGTCCGGGTTGCTCATGAGATTCTGGGCCATGGAGGAAAACATGGGGTTGTTCATAATGGAACTGAAGTCGGGCATACCACCAGCTGCGTTGCTACCCCGACCACCTCCAAACATGCTGGCCAGACCTCCCAAATCAGGTGTGCTCGTAGAACCTGAACCGCGGGGAGTAGAAGCTGTCGCGATATCGTCTGAATTGAGCTCTTCAACTCTTCTTTTGGCTGTTTCAAAGCCCTTTTTCATCGCATCACTACCCCCGTTGCCTTCATAGTCGATGCCTTTCTTGTACGCCTCCATAGCGCCCTTCGCATCCCCAAGAGCAAACTTTGCCAGTCCTAGGCGACTCCACGCCTTTGTATAGTTTGGGTCAATTGCGACGGCAGCCTCTGCATCAGTCTTGGCACTTTCGTGGTCTTTGGCGGCACTATATGCAGCAGCACGATTGGACAAATAAATGGCGTTCCTGGGATAAAGACCAAGCGCTTTTGTGTATAGATCGATAGCCCCAGCATAATCCTTTTGCGCCATGGCACTGTTGCCCTTCGATTTCAAGCCTTCAGCCTCCTTCTTAGCAGCCTCGGTGACTAAGCCTGAGGGTGTAGGAACAGAAGCAGAAGTGGAAGACGGTGATTCTGGCATCGTAGTCGGTGTGGAGGACTTGGAGGAATTCTTGAGTTTTTCATACACGCTGTAAATCTTCTGTAAATTCTGGTCACCAACAGCTTCTGTGATTGCAGCTTCGTCGGTAGGGTCGATCTTGAAAGCCTCGGATATGCAATTTATGGCCACATCGATAGAGTCACCATCGTCGGATGAGATGGTACCATCAGATGTAGATGAAGAGAGGAAGTCGCATATGGCCAGTGCCAGACGCTGCTTTGACGTCAATGCCTGGAAGAATGACCGCACACGTTAGAACAAGCTCGTGCTATTCGGACGGTGAATATCTGTAGGGGATCAAAAGAGGAGCAGACCATTTCTAACGTTATGCGCAGGTATACAAAGACCGGAGAGAAAAGCGATGATAAGACGAAACCAAGTTGCGCTCAAGAACTAAGAAGGGAAGGATATGGCGGGGTAAGAGAGAGATATCGTATCCTTTACGGACTGCTCTGCACAGTATCTTTAAGACACACGAAATCATTAAAGTGGGGCACCTATAAATTCACGTGCTCTCTTCGGATTACATATAATATTACTCCGTTGGAGTAGATTATCTTGCAATTTATCCTACAAGAGATAACTTTTGTACGGAGTACGTCGAAACCAGTTCTCGACAAGAAAAACAGCACTAGGAATGAGCTGAGGGACCTGGCTCATGTGTATAACGAACCTGGAAAAGAGCGACAACTCTTATCTGCGCTGATTCTTTGACTTGACTGCATTGGCCCGAGGCTTTCCAGCGCCCAGAAGCATCTCGCCGAGAGATGTATTGGATTCTTGCATGTTTATACATATAACAGCGACAACGGAACATAGGTCATAACTTCACAAGGCCTTGATATGGATTTACCTCGACCATCACCTCCATACCCAAGTTCGCCTAGGATAACGAGCCTAACCAATACAAAGTCTTGCTTCATTTGTTTCGAGACATCGGAAGAGACGCCGGGCCAGTCTTGGGTCACACCCTGCCCGTGTACGCTAGATGTGCATGAGAGTTGCATGTTACAATGGATTGCAGAGACTGAAGATTCTGGAGGACCTAAGAAAACGTTGCGATGCCCGGCATGCAACAGTCGCATTCGTGTTGATGAACCATGGGATCCCATTATTGCGCTTAGCGACAGATACGGCAAGGCTTATGGTCGAGCTTCGTATTTTATCATTGCTTCTACGCTTATGACAATGGGTGTCGTTGGTTCTGGATACTACGGTATTCAGTCAATGATAGCCTTTGCCGGCCACCGCCCTACGCTGAACTGGCTTGGTCTTCGAAGAATAATTATTTCCAGTTCCCGAGATCCTCCGCTTTCATGGAAAGACGGTGCTATTCTTGTGTGGAAGTTTTACTTGCTGAATCTTATCGCGCCCTTCTTGCTTTTTCACCGGGCGTTGCCTAACTTGGGGGATGCGGCTGCGGTTGTTGTATCATGTCTTGTATTTTCCCCACCCTTCGACGAGTTGCTTCTACACCGGTTCTTGATAACACCAGCTAACGAATACATTGTATAGTATGGTTTTACTCTCAATCTTCGAAAAAAACCCATTACATGGCCACTATCTCCAGAATGGGCACTGACGCTACTACCCTACACCAGTCTCGCATACACACGGGCATACTATGGACTGTTTGGTTCATTTGAAAACAAACTAAACCGAGCTCTTCGAGGAAGAAATATACCGGACGTAGCTGCTGACGGGGCTCACCTGCCTGAAAATGACGTCAGGGTTGACATAGGGGAAGTGGGCGCGCAGAGGAGAGGGGGCATTGTTGCCAACATATGGAGATTGGGAGCTGCCATTGCAAACTTCATTCGAAACGACAACAACATGGTGTTAGAAAATGCCGGCGCGGCGGCAGCATTTGGCAATGGCCAAGGAGTTGAATTTCAACTGGAGTTGATCGTCGGCCAGGCAGATGAGCTGGAGGAGATTGAAGGGCCGCTACCGCCGCTCCCAGATGATCAGGCCCTAGGTGCGCATAGACAGGATGCCGACGAAGTACTACAAGAGCTTCCAGTACTACTACCTCCCGACGTCCTGCGAGAAAGGCCTGGCGAACAGGCCCCGGCAGATGAAATTCAGGCGGCAGGAGCAGGAGCCGAAAACCGGGTGGCGACGCCCTTTTCAGACATCGTGACCGTTATGGCAACGCAGCTTTTACTACCTCGCATTTCTGGGATATTTGGTCATCTGCTAGAACAAGCACTACCCCGTGCATGGGTTGTACGACCGCCGCTAAATAGACGGCCGACTAATCTCCTGCAAGAAAAATGGGGCAGAAGTCTGATTGGGGGTTGCCTATTCATTTTGTTGAGGGATGCTGTGAACTTGTACATGAAATACCGGCGCGTTCAGGTCAAGAAACACCGAAAGATTCAGAATATCGATCGCAGGAGAGGAAAGCAAGGCAGGGATGTGGAGGTTCTTTGAGATGATCTTGGCCTAACAGAGGGTTATGAGTTTTGTGCGTATCAGTCATGAATACACACTTATTATCGGTCTACATATGTGTTGAAGAACATAAAAGATGAGCCGTACGGAGTATCTTTTTCTTGCAAAACGAATAGAAAACAGAAATAAATTACTGCTAATGTGCTAGCCCCAGAGACGGGTGCTTATGTTCAGCAGAGCACTCCCACTTCCAGGTTTGCTCACCACAACTGCAGCCTCCCGTTGCTCTGGCGTCAAATCTCTCTTAGAGTAATATTCCGATTCCCAAGCCTCCTTGATTGCGACTATCTTGTTGGTCGGAACAAGGTGGACGCTGCATCCCCCCCACCCAGCGCCAGTGAGGCGGCTACCGTAACTGCCTGCTTTTCTAGCAATCGCACACAGCTGATCTAATTCTGGGCAGCTGCATTCGTACAGATCCCGACAGGAATTTTGCGTTTCGTTAAGGAGCGCGCCCAATTTCTCGTTGTATGCAGAAGTGTCGGAGTTATTGGAATCGTGAGCTTCTGTGCTCAATAACTCCATGAAATTCAGCACACGTCTAGCCTCACCGAAGACATGACGAGCACGCTGCTGGAGCTTGAAAATTGTCGCACGGACGGGGAAGCGCGACATGTACCGGACATCCAGATCGGCAATGGATATTCCCAGGACAGAAGCTATCTCTTCTCTTGTGTAGCCCTCTTTTGGCAGGACTTTCTCGACCAAATCCAACATCTGCTGCAATTCGTAATCGGCACTGTCTGCGACTCGCGAGCTACCAAGTCTCTTGAGGCGAATATAAGTATCATGGAAGCCATGGAGGCTGATTCCGAGAGGCCCCGAGTCGCTAGGAAGTACGGTGCCTGGCGGATTCAATACGGCGTTCATGTAGGCTGCGGCAAGAGTGCACTCAACTACACGTAGGTTGTAGTTGACGGGTCCGGTAACGTACTTGTCAGCCGCCACGAAGGATTGCGCAATGAGGAAGGACAACTCCGGGTTGGTAGGAGGAAAGAAAACGGGCAGGGCTGTCAACTGTGGTGTAAACGAGACAAAAAGAGCCGAGCCTTGCTCCGAGAACACAGATGCAGACTGGTCCATTCTGACCCACGATTGTAGATGTTAGTACTATGTTCGTACTTTGTCAAGATAGATGACAAGTTTGTCCATACTCACCCCCCAGAGTTCACACCAACGCTCCGCTCGCTCACAATAGCGAGTTCAGTGAGCTCAGTTTTGTCAATCTGTGTCTCTCCGTTTGCAAACATAACACCGAGAGCGCTGGCGCTAGTAAATGCCGCACTGGAGCTCAAACCTCCACCTACAGGGACCGTGCCATCCATCAAGACCTGCATGCTCTTTGAAGTGAAGTCATTCCCATGTCTTTCCCTCAGTAAGTCCAGGGCGCCGCGGAGACCACTCTTGAAATAGTTTGCCCACTCGTGTACTGTTGAATCGATCCCTACCGTTCCGCGTGAGACGTCAAACTCGTGAGCAGGGAATTTGGAGCTTTGTACATTGGCGATTTGGACCTTAAAGGTGGCGGAGTTGGCACCACCAGCAGAATCGACGGAGCGGATGGCAAGAAGACAATCAGCAGTGATAGCCATAGGAAGAACGCTATACAGAGAGTAATCGATATGCTCGCCGATTATGTTCACGCGACCTGGGCTGCGCGCAACAAATTCAGCGGGATGTCCATATTGAGTTTCAAAGGCTGTCAATAGACCTCGCCAACGTGCCGTTTGAGCCTCAACGGCATCTTTGGAGTAAATTTCTGAAAGAGTATGAACAACTGGAACCGACATGGTGATTGTAAGCTTGACGCATATGGAAATCGAAGACGTAGAATCTGTGTTTTAAGTACGAGAGTTATAAGGTGCGAGAGGGGAATAAAAATCGTGGATATACGAGCAGTACGATTGCGGGGTTCCTCTCCTGTCATCATAAGATGTAATCCATACTCTCTCCACTAAGCATCTTACGGAAGATGTGAACGCATTATTAGTCGCGAGCTTTTCCACGAAAAGCCGCCCAAAAAATCCGAGCTAAGAGTAATAAAAACAAGCAGATGGCGAAAGCAAGCTATGCTCTAACCGCAGTCCTCCTTCTGTACTCTGTATTAGAATTTGATTTACATTAAAAAGCGCCCTACTGTAGTCCCTCCAAACATATCTTACCAAGTCCCATAGTATATAAATAATACAAACACAGACGACTGTGTGAATCAGACAGGAAAGGGGGGGTCAGGCAGAAACCTCAATACCACAAAACCAGCTATTGATTAACTAGCCTTACCAAGAGCCCCAATTTCCCCACACGTTCTAGACGAGTAACTTGCATCACAACAGTATCGGATCGTTAACATGAAGCAGTTTTGTCCAACGGGGCAACTTTCTGTCTCGCTCAAACATGAAGCCACAGTTGTTACAAAGGGTCTTTTGAAAGTCAGCTTGTACCCACACATTTGAGGCGTTCGTGTTCTGCTTACCCGTGGTCCCAAGGGCCCGTCTCGGACAGCCCAGACACTGGTTCCCCATATACGGCAATGCGAGCAGCGCCATGCAGCGCGTTCGCTGTCTGCAAGAGTACCGCCTCCTCCATAACCCCCTCCACTGGTATCTGGCGTGCCTCGCCCCCCCGGAGTGCCTGACCGAGCAAGTGGCGATAAGCTCCGGAACCGTTTTTTCTTCTTACTTCGTTCTCCACGCCCCATCCGTTCCTCTTCTTGCTCTACCAAGCCGCCGAAACCGAAGCCGAGGGGAACTCCACCGGCCATTCCAGTGTTGCTACTAAATCGAGCTGTCTCTCGACGCAGACGGCGCAATTGGCGCTCACGGTCACCTTCGCGCCTCTCGATTTCCTCCTTGGTTAGCATTTCGAGCTTCGGCTCCCATTGACCGCCCAGGTGCTCGGGATCGTATCTCCAGCCAGCTCCTTCCCCGGCTGCTGAGATTACCGCGTCGTTAGGAAAATCTGTCAGACCACCGGGCCCAAAACCTGCCACCAGTCCACCCGCCTCGCAAGCTTCTTTTTTTAGTCGCAAGACAGCCTCATAGATAGCATGGGTCATCGCGGGGACCCATTCCCCAGACAGCCCCAGATCGGCGCAGGTTTGTTTGGCAAAAGCCTCGGCCGTCCCAGGAGGATGGAGAAGAGACCATTCAAATTTGTCAGTATACAGTCGGGATGACAAATTGATGTTCAAATTGACGATGCATCGGTACGTGTCGTCAGGATTATAGTCGTCTGAACCGGGATGTATGGCAGTGGCAGCAGCCTTTACGGTATTCGGAGAAAGAGTGGCGGCTGAAGGCTGAGCCGCAGTCCCATTTCTTAAAGAGTCTGATGCAACATTTGTAGCAAGTGTGGCTAAATCGGGGCTTCGCGTGACTAGAGCGGAACCTGTTTGTGTGTGGAAAAGGGGATGAAGTGCCACGCCGGCGTATTCTTCGAGTTGTGTTCGAATCTGCTTGCTTATTTCTGCAGCGACAGAAGACCGGATAGGGAGATCAAGATCCTGGGTGAGGCCGAGGGCGAACTGATCCGTCGTGATGAGCGTCTCGTGTAGGTTCCACAAAAACGTATCTCGCAGGCGGTAGGGAGACGTCATCTCTGGCTGTCTGTTGAGAGGATTTGACATATCAAACTGTGAATTGATAGTTGATGTGCCCGGCTGTGGTCCGATGGGTGGTCCAAGAGGCGCCACGGGGATGAAGGCCGGGATATCTACGTCAATGCGGATAGGTATAAGGGTCGATGGAAGACAGGCTTGCACGTAGTTTGCCGAGTCTGATCGCGGAAGTCTTGATTTACCCTGCCAGTCTCTCCATATGCCCTGCACCTCGACGGGCAGTGAAGTATCCTTCCCAACTTTATCGCTAGTCTCGATCTTGTTGACACTGTCATCCCGCCGAAGGGTTCTCAGGCTCGAAGGTCTTCGCCGTAAATCATCGTCGTCATCGTCGTAGTCGTCAAATCCGTCTTCTGCGTAATTTATTATGGTCGTTCCCCGTTTAGTAGTCTTTGGGACTGCGGGAGCACTGGGGTTGACTGGGACGAGGAGGGAGTTGTTGTAGGTGCGTAAGCGGGGTGCATACGAGGACCAATAGGCCTGCGGTGCCGATGTTGCATTGCTCATTGTGAGAAGCAAGATCTATGAGATCATGCCATGCAGGAGAAGCTTGGTGATGGGGAAAACTCGAGACGCTGCAGCTGTGCTTGGTTTGCCGTCGTGATTGCGAAAATGTCAGGCAGAGTAAACAGCTTTTGAAAAAAACAAAGTGGACAGCAAATTTCCGAGAACAGCAGCCGCACGTTCAGCGCACGTGCCAAACAGCTGCAGACAGATATTCACAAAGTAGGGGTGCTGATGTCTAGTGCGCAGATACAGAGGGCTGTAGATGTGAGCTTCTGATTGCCTGAGGGCGCCACCCGTCGCGTTGAAATTTTGGTTATTTCGCGATTGATTAGTCACGTGTGCACTCGACAACCAAGAAGCTGTGAGGTCCACTTATAACTGCACAGAAAGATAACGCCAACTGGACAGGACACAAGTCAAGAAAATCTGATCTCGTTCGTAGCAAGCGCTTTATACGGGCACTTGTACCATTCGTTTTCCCTCGGCTGTAAACTGCCGAGCAGGCCGCGACTTCCTTTTTGATATCGTAGAAGGCCGTCTGTAATCCGTAGACTGATGTGTCTATCTCACGAAGAGCCAGAATTTCCCCAGCAGTATTCTGATTATTAGCGACTCGCTCTATCATCCTTTCAGCAATCCAATCCCTTGTTTAACCTAAGATTTTCCCGATTTCACCTTGTAGCATATCTTATATGGGTTATTCAGAGCCGGCTATCAACGATGACAATAAAATCAGGGAAGAAAGTGAGCAAATGCCACTGCTGTCCCGGACAGTGGCAGCGCAACGCTTCTCGTCGCCATCATTTCTGCCTCTAAAACATCAGTCTTCGCCCACAGCTAGCAATTCTATAGTTACCGGAGGATCGCCACAGGCTCCGGCCTTCCCCGCACCCACAAACCAACCAGTGCGTAACCTGCACCACCCAAGGGGTTCAGGTTTCCGTGATAACCATTTATGGGGAGCACCGGCGGGCCTCAGTCCACGCAGGGAATGTGACGAAAGCCTGTCCATTTTTCGGCACGCAGTTGGCATCAATAGTCAACTAGTTGGTGATACAGAGCTGTCAACTGTGGAACAGGGGCGCAAATCAGCAACCGGCATTTATCGTGCGGTTATAAAAGGACGACATTCAAAAATATGGCAGTACACAGCTCTTAGCATTATTACATACACGTGCCATCTGCTCCAGATACTGGTTGGCGCCACTTTAACGGCTTTTGGACCCGTAGCTGGAAATCATGCAGTGGCTATCACAGTCCTCGGCTCGATCAACACTGTCATAGCGGGTCTGTTGGCCCTTTTCAAAGGACAGGGCCTACAGGAGAGACTACACAAGGACGAAATCGAGTTCACTCGCTTGCAAGTGTGGATTGAAGAAACGCATGCACTCCTTGAAGCTGGCGTCATCGGACGTGACCTACAAGAGGTTGGCCTGTTAGTAGAAACGATTTTCAAAAAGTATAACGCTGTCTTGGCCAGCGAGGAAAACAACAGGCCCGACAGTTATATTCGCCAAGAACCGGAAGGCGGGGAGGGCGAGGAGGACGATGACCACCGAGTGCATGAACCTCACAACGGCTTTCGAGAGTAGTCAGAATTTGAAATCCAGTTACTTTTCCTAATATGCGACCAATGGTTAGCTGCGACGTGCTGCATTCTGCTTTTATTGTGGTCACCTCGCAGAGCTGACCGTCATAACGAAAACAAGTCACCTCTCAGCAAGCAACTGCCATACATTAATAGCAGTGACAGTAGCAGTAGTAGTACAGAGTACTCGTATGTATATCTAACTGTCTCATATTACGTTCGTTGAATTGTTTTAAAAATTCTTGAGGAAGCTGTAGGCAACTTCACGATATCTTACTATTCAGGTAAGATACGTGGTTCGCAGAGGGGGCCAAAAGGCTATTACCGCTTGTCCCTATTCTATACGACGCACGGAGTACGGAGTACTTTAAGTATGGTGTTGCGCTAATCATCATGTGACCGAGTCGAGTGAAAAGAGATGTAAAATGTTTATACGACGTATGGAGTACGGAGTACGGAGTACGTATTATTATGCATCCATATCGGAAATGTGCCCAATTGGGCTGCTCCACAATCAGCGAAAAAAAAAACTCAATTTTTTCTCCGAATAAATATAATATACTCCGTATTTAGGAGGGGAAACAGACTCCTAGTACGAATTCGTGAGTCATCTCTGACCTCCCCGAACTCTCTGAAAGCACATCTCTTATAATTGTGCAGTACCCGGCTCTGCGCAGAGAATTGAAACTTTTGCTATCTGCTTTTGTCGTTCTCTCTGTAGCAATTGCGGCTATCGCCACCGCCCCCTGTCTCGAGACTTCGAGCCTTCCGTTTGCCTACTATGCTCCGTTCAACCGTTTCAACCAAAGCCGTGCGGCAGGCCCTGAGGACACATCGTACAACGAGAGGCTTTGTCGATTCTCTTGCCTCTGCATCTACATATCCTCGGAAGACGACAATTGGAGCTCGAACTCAAACGACTTCTGCTACCGTTCCTGTGTACGTTTTGACCCGCCACACCATCTTGCAGACCTCAAATTAATCGTAGATGCAACATCTATAGCGGTGGGCGCGCAAAACCTAGCTCGAGCTTTAACAAAAGCGACAGAAGCCATGTGCAACCTCTTGTCAATCCCCGACGGACTGTTATGGACGAATCGTATGTAAACCCCTTTTCCTATCAAGATGGCAAGTCTCATAAGGCGTCGAAACCTAGGTTTATCGGCAAAACAGGCGGAGAGATTTTCCATGAAATGATGCTGAGACATGGCGTTGAACATATCTGTATGTCGTATAGCTTACTCGGCGTTACTCGGCGGCGCTCCCATTTGCTAACTATATTGTCAGTTGGATACCCTGGTGGCGCTATTCTTCCTGTTTTTGATGCTATCTACAACTCGAAATACTTCGATTTTATTCTCCCTAAACACGAGCAGGGAGCGGGGCACATGGCTGAGGGCTATGCCCGTGCGTCTGGAAAACCTGGAGTGGTTGTGGTCACTTCTGGACCTGGTGCAACGAATGTCATCACCCCCATGGCCGACGCATTTACGGACGGCACGCCCATGGTCGTCTTTTCAGGCCAGGTTCCTACTTCGGCAATTGGCAGCGACTCATTTCAGGAAGCTGATGTGATAGGCATCTCAAGGGCCTGTACGAAGTGGAACGTCATGGTAAAGAGCGTTGCAGAGTTGCCGCGCCGGATCAATGAGGCATTCGAGATTGCCACGAGCGGCAGACCCGGTCCTGTTCTAGTCGACCTACCTAAAGATATCACCGCTGGCGTACTACGACGTGCGATACCAACTGATTGTGACATTCCTTCGATCCCGAGCGCTGCCTCGCGTGCTGTGCAAGCACTTAGTGAGAAGCAGCTTGAACAGTCAATCTCCCGAGTTGCCGATCTGATCAATGTTGCTAAAAAACCCGTTATCTATGCTGGCTACGGCATCACATGCTCCAAGGGAGGCGTTGAGCTCCTCAAGGGGCTCGCTGATAAGTCCTCTATACCGGTGACGACTACGCTCCAGGGCCTTGGGTCCTTTGATGAACTAGACGAAAAATCTCTTCATATGCTCGGCATGCATGGCTCGGCTTATGCTAACATGGCCATGCAAAACGCTGACCTCATTATCGCTCTTGGTGCACGGTTTGATGATCGCGTCACGGGAAATATTTCCAAATTCGCACCTGGTGCAAAAGCAGCGGCAGCCGAAGGCAGGGGCGGCATTGTCCACTTTGAAATTATGCCGAAAAATATCAACAAGGTGGTGCAAGCTACAGAGTCTGTCGAAGGGGATGTTGCTACAAATCTTAAAATTCTTGTACCACAAGTCAAGGAAAGAACTCTGGATGACCGAAGGGAATGGTTTGCCGACATCAACGAATGGAAGAAGCGCTGGCCTCTTTCTGCGTTCGAACGTGAGGAACGCGGTGGCTTGATCAAACCGCAGACTTTGATCGAGCAGCTCAGCAATCTTACCGCTGACCGCAAGCAAGAAACAATCATCACCACAGGCGTTGGCCAGCACCAAATGTGGGCCGCTCAACACTTCCGCTGGCGACACCCCAGGACTATGATAACCTCGGGTGGTCTAGGAACCATGGGCTTCGGTCTGCCAGCGGCTATCGGGGCGAAGGTTGCCCGTCCGGATGCCCTTGTCATTGATATTGATGGCGACGCGTCCTTCAACATGACTCTTACTGAACTTTCTACGGCAGCGCAATTCGGAATCGGCGTCAAAGTGATTGTTTTGAACAATGAGGAACAGGGAATGGTCACACAATGGCAAAATCTTTTCTACGAAGATCGCTACTCCCACACGCACCAAAAGAACCCTGACTTCATGAAACTGGCTGACGCCATGGGGCTTCAACACCGGCGCGTGTCAGATCCCGCCGAGACGGTAGACAGCCTGAAGTGGCTGATCGAAAGCGATGGTCCGGCTCTGCTGGAGGTCTTAACAGATAAGAAGGTTCCCGTTCTCCCCATGGTGCCAGCAGGGTCGGCACTACATGAATTCATAACATGGGATGCTGGTGAGTCCTATGCGCTCTCTCTATATTGGCGATTTTGTTTGCTAATATTTCTACGCTATCAGAGAAAGACAAAAAGCGAAGAGAAATCATGCGCAAGCGCACTTTGGGCCTACACAACTAAGTAAAAAAGGGAGGACGGTAAAGGCGGTCAAGAAGGGTGGTGTTATATGGAAAGCCCCTTTCGTGTATTTATGGAATGTGCTTTTTTTCTCAAATTGACCGACGGACAATATAGGCTTAACAGGCGTTGAGGTTTATTTTACAGCCAATTTGTCTCATTGACGGCTCAGAGCGGAATTTTTGCCTAATGACGTGTCATACATCGCCTTGTTTTAAGTGTATTGGGTTTCGGCAAATTGAGGTTCTCGAAAGCCTACGGATGCTAGACTTCGGACAACCTGAAACAATCTTTAGCATACTTCCGCCCCTCGCTGTTTCGCACAGGCTGATGGCGAGTGCTGGAAACTAAGTATGAGGAGAACGACAAGGGGTTGTGTCAACCAAGCTGTGATTGGAGGTAGTTGGTTCTCGATATTTAGAGCTTTGATATGTCACATTCAAATGTGTTTAGGCATAGCTTCCCGCAAAGGGGGGTTTACAGAGCAAGATGGTACTGACTATGGACTGTTAATACGTTAATTTACTGAACATCAACAATATTACCCTCCCATGGACGCGAAGGGCAGAAATTTCTGATAAGGCTTAGGCAGATTGCGACCTGTTAGCATCGAGATTCATTGATTTACCCGTTCTACCTTGTCATCGTCTTTTGTCTGTTTGAATGTTTCTTTCGTGTTCTTTAGACGACTGTTGACCTATGCCTTCAGTTTTACTGTTAAAGTGTAAAAAGCCTGTTTCCCCTCTCCCATTCCCAAAACTTTCAAATCGGGTGACTTGCTACGAGCAACCTTAGGCGGCAATATTCGTCTGCAAGCATAAGCAACACCAATTTCGCAAATGTTGATAACAGAGAGCGGTTTTCCGATATTTCGGCACTCTCTCTAATGCTTCGTTGTCTTATTTGCGTTAAGCCGTTATTAGGACGCAACTTTGATACTATGTAGCATTATCTTACAAGTTTTGAAAATAGCACGCGCATCGACGGTACATACTGTCGCAAGGCTCGAAATCGGCCACGAGTCCAATTTAAAGAATCAGATTTTTAGCACAACCCTATCATTGACTTCTCTGTCCCATTCAGCGTAGGGATTGGACAGTTTTCACCATGAGTACAGTGTGACCAGACTGCTTTTTGCACGAATGAACGAAGTCAGAAAGTCAGAAGACTCCTAAAATATATTTAGGGGTTTCGCCAGGCTAGGTTGGAATTGACACTGTTTGTGATACACAGATGTAGATCTTCTAACGAAATCCTTCTTGCAGCAGTCTAAGCCCAAATTGCTCATCTAGTTGCGAAAGCCGGTTGGCGGATTTGTTTTAGGTACTGGAGCTTAATTGATCAACAAAGTCCACCCAGAACAGTGCTGTTTTAGTATTAGTAACTAACCAGGTTTGTCAGGTGTGGGTCAGCGCCGCACGATCCCACATCGAAACCTTCTGGGATGCCTGTACGGTGTACGGAAGTCAAACGGATTTGAAAGCACCGTACAAGACAAATATATAATGGACGTGGAGAAACACAATGCATTAGTGATACGGCGTAGCTATTTTTTTAAAACGCCTTCCAATATATATCTCATGTGGTCTGCGGCCATGAGCACCGTCACTACAGCCTCAGCAGCTTTTAGAACTTGCAACAGCGTAGTGTTTGTGGTGTCTGGTGTATATCATTCCGATTGACATCTGTGATGAGGAGGACGATGATTTTGTGTGCTCCAACGTGCTTCAGCTTCGTTGCTGTCAAATGAAAGCTTTTTGATAAAAACAATTCGGTCGCAAGACGATATAAAAGGAGAACGTGTTCCAACTCCAAGTCCCTTAATTGCAAGAAAACTGCAATGAATATCTTACTTTTTGCCCGAACAGTTGACGCGATTCGCTCTTGTCAAGGCGTACGAGTACGACGTCCGTACAAAGCATGTATCTAAAGATGCTGTCCGACGTATCTTACGTACTCTGTAAATTGTGACCTACATATTGACCACCTTTTGGGCTAATACCTAGTACGGAGTACGGAGTACAAGGTAGTAAAGCAAGCCATACATGTAAGATATATTACAAAGCAGTCTGTTCTCTGTTCTCGCCGTTAGATTGACGGGCCTCAATTTTCTGCATGGCGTTCTGTTGCCAATAGGAGATGTATCTTACTCTGTACCCCGTAGGATACGTCGGCGTTAAACACGAGATGGCCTGTGCAAATGATCCACACAAGTAAGATACTTACGTACGGAGTACTCTGGGGATTCATCTTTTTCGTACGGAGTACTCCGTATATCTTATGAGTAAGATACGAAGTACTTTATACAGGTATCTTATATACGGGAGCGGTGCATTGCGTAGGCAGAAGTCGTAATCTTCAAACCAATTTTTAAAAATGTGGCTAGGTACGGAGCATAACGGAGCATAGATCGCCGATGGGCTAACTAAATGATCTTGGTGCGGCTGGCACCGCCCATAATATGGAGACTATCTTATTACTGAGAGGCCCCACCGAGCCATACGACGTAGAATTCGGGGGCTGGGAGGGGAGAGGCCCAGCCACCAGTGTTTCTACGCACTATAAGAATTTTGCATTTCAGCTGAGAGCTAAACCAACTCCTGTCGACCCTAACTCTCGTCTCAAGGCAACCACAATGAGTATAACACTTCAGTACCCAAGCAGCGGCGCTGCGCCGCCCAAGAAAACTCGCCAGCGATATCGCCAAGGCTCAGACGATGCCGACGTCTCGCCTTCACGCAGACAACGACCCTCTCCTCCTCATCCGAACTCTTTCTCCAACCAGCCATTATATTCCGAGCCTCTCGACTACGCTGGGGGGACTTTTCCCAGCCAACCTCAGCACCAGCCGGCCCCGGCCGGAGATCGCCGACGAGGCCTCCCCATGGACCCGAATGTTTCCCAAGCACGGGAGGCCCAAGCGCCCCGGCAGCGACCACCATCCTACGAGGCGGGCAGCCGCTCTGCAGAGCAAGCATTGAACCGGAATGCCGATGCGAATGTTGAACAAAGACGCCAGCCACCTGTATCCAACCCACGCACACAACCAGCGGGGGCCAGACCACCCAGCGTCGCATCCAGGCAGCACCAAGCGGCCGTCCCAAACCCCGGTGCCACTATTGAGCGGCTCAAGACACCAAGCGTCATGGAAACCGTTCTTCAACCACTTAGTCGGAAGGTGCAAGAATATAACCGGCTTGTGAACGAAGCACAAGACGAGATCAAGCGTCTGGACGACGAACTTCGTCTGATTCAAACGCGGCGCGACGATGCTCATGCTCGTCTTTTGGATGCACAAACTCGATACGAGGATTGGCAACAACAATATGCAAGTGTCGAACGCACGCTGAAGGGAGAACTGCCACCACTGCCACCATTACAGCACGAGCAGCCAAAGCCGCAAGTCGCAGTAGCTGCTGCTGAACAACTCAATGATGACGATGAATATGATGACGATGAAGATCTACGAGAGCGGCCGTGGTCTGCTAGTCACCAAGGGAGCTTTGCGAGTACCAAATCCAAATCACGGGTGCGGGATCGTTTGCGCAAAAGCATTTTCGGCTCTTGACGTGGCAGCAAAGGGGCACTGCGGGCTCGCAAGATTAGGGAAATGTTATTGACACTATATTTGGGCAATCGTAGAATATGAGACATGACGGATGTTGCAAGATATTTCTTTTGAATTTCTTTTGTGGAATGAACGTGGTCAAAGGGCCTTTATATGCATGTTGTTGGGATTGGCTGCCGTTATACATGTCTTTCGACCATTAATAGCTTTAATCGCTCGCTCTAATGCTTATCATATTTAAAATGAGATAGTTAGTTGATATAAAGAGAACTGGCTGCGTGCTTGCCGGTATGTTGCCGGTGTATTGCGCGCCGAGCTGCACAATATGTCTTATAACTTACCCAGTTGCATCGCCTTTGTCATACGGTCATCGGGGGTAGTCAAGTGAGCTTGGCTTGCAGTGATGAAGCCACACATATGTAATGCGGCGTGAATGGAGTGCGAGGTAACCATCTCGTGTCTTAAGCGCCATAAATATACTGCATCCACCCAAGCAATATCTGGATGGCAGATATTCTTGACCACTCGTGTTCAGCCAAGAGAGATGGATCATTCCGATGGCTACATGAACGTAATGTAGGGTCTTATTATAGACTACATCTTACGACGTAAGAAGTAAAATATCGTACTCCGGACTACTTACCCCTTTTACGAGTTTCCGGCTTGGGCTGCGCCTACGACAAAGCAAGATATAGATCACTCTGTACCAGCCAACAGATATCTGTAGTGTTCCAAAAATTGACAATGGGAAACACTGATCACGACGGCTCGTCGCGTATGATTCGGGGCAGATGGCGCAGTAAAACAATTTCACTTTTATCTTATTTTTTATCTCATATGCTACGGAGATTACTGAACTAAAGCTTTGATAGGCAGAGAAATAGCTTGATTGCCGAGGGCCGAACTTTAGAGCACGCTGGTAAGATACAATAGCTCCCGCCAGCCTTGGCCCGGCTATTGTCAATAGCGGCTGTTTGGTACAATTTAAAGCTCTTGACCGCGTAGATTGCCAACTGTTTGATGGCAAATGCGAAACAGAGGCTTCAATATTCTTCGTCTCATATACATGGCGCCTTTGTCTTAGGGTATGGCTCCGCTTATTCGAACTCGTTTTCTTGTGAACTCCTCTTTGGCGGACGTGCCATCTTGGTTGCCAGGCAAAATCTTCTGCCACCAGCGGCGGTTTCGTTCCATGAAAGCAGTGGTAGTTGACGGCAATCAATGCCGTGTCGACTATGAGCACATGATGCCCCAGTTACATGACTATCATGTGCTTGTGAAGCCAGTTGCGGTAGCTCTTAACCCTACAGACTGGCGGCATCTGCGATACGGACGCGCCAAAAATGGCTGCATCGTCGGCTGTGACTACGCTGGCGTGGTCGAATTCGTTGGCAGAGGCGTGACTAAGGCATGGAGCCCAGGCGACAGGATATTTGGATGTGCCCATGGTGCCAACCTCGCTAATCCAGACGACGGTGTGTTTGCCGAGTTTGCTGCTGTTGTTGGTGATCTTCAAATGCGAATACCGGATGAAATGGACTTTACAGACGCGGCGACCCTGGGACTGGGATCTATCACAGTCGGCCAAGGTTTATTTCAAAAAGCTCTGAAGTTGGATTTGCCGGCCTTGACGATAATGAAAAAAGAAATTCCTGTCTTGATCTATGGCGGCGGGACGGCCACGGGAGCGCTGGCTATCCAGTATGCTAGACAGTAAGTAAAATCCTGGAAGACGCCTTTTGCGCAGCAACAGGATCATGACTGATGCCTCCCCCCCCCGCCTTTCTCTATTGATCCAGAGGCGGTTACACTGTCATAACCACTTGCTCGAAGCACAATTTCTCTTACGTTGAGAGCCTGGGCGCAGATTTCGCCGTGGATTACCACGATGCAGATGCTGGCGCACAGATTCGCGAATACACTAACAACAACCTATTCCATGCTTGGGATACTGTGAGCGTACCCCAGTCTGCGCAAATATGTGCCGACGCGCTATCCACGCAAAAACATCAAACGCCCATATACGGTACCGTATTGCCGATTGGCAGTCCTCGTGCCGATGTAGAGACGGTATCAACGGTCATGTATACCGTCTTTGGCAAGGAATTTAAATTTGGCCCCGTCGTTGTACCAGCAAGCAAAGAGGATCTCGAATTCGGCAAGACGTTTTCTGCTCTTACAGAGGCATTAGTGGCAGGAGTAAGTGTTGAAAACTGCCAAAGTATATATTCTCCTGGAGGCTAATCAGTGATAGGACCGAATCAAGCCACACACATGCCGGATTGAGAGAGGCGGCCTTGAGGGGATTAAAAAAGGCTTAGAGAGTCTGGAATCAGGAAGGGTGAAAGCCGAGAAGCTTGTTTACATGCTGACCGATTCTCTTGAGTCATATTAAGGATCTTCTGTAGAGACTTACCCACTGGTTTTCACAAATTGCTGTCGAGGACTTCAACAATCAAGTATTTGAGTCTCTGAAATCTCCTTATGGTTCGTTTATTTGTCAAAATCTTAACAGCCAAGAGCCGTACGTACTGATAGCAAGGTACATATTATATTTCAGGGTCTTCAGTCACCAGCGTACCCGCCCTGGGAATGTTCACATGAAATTTGACAAGAGTCCATTGAAATTGGCGTCAAAACTCAGCGTCCCAGTCACTAGACTGTCAATTTCAGTCCACGTACTTAGGTAGGGGGACCTAACGAGAACATCGTTCGGCTGCACCATGTGGCTGCCGACCGAGGTAAATAGACCGCAAGGGCTAAGTAGACTTTGGGTCGCTTGTTGCTGATTTGTTATGTCTGGCTGCATCACTGCTTCGTTCCTTTCTGTCCGATCGTCTCGTATGTGGTTTCCAGAGCTGGATGGGCTTGGATATGTCATATCCATCCGACCATAAGAGTTTGTATCATCGTAAAATCGTAGGGGTTGTGCAGTTGATGATGGCTGAAGTCGTGAGGGAGTATCACGAATCTTAAAACTGTCTATGATGGATGACAATAAATGGCTCGGGAACATGGGTACGCGGATGTCAGTGTTTTTCAGAACAGTGAATAAGAACCGCAATCCATAATTTGCCGAAGAATACATGTCCTGCAGTTCTTGAAGTGCCTGAACACACTGGTAAAAGCGTCCGATGCTCATATTGCGAACCTCCTCACTGGGTGAGCGGATATCCAGCAGATGTATCAAGCTCGCCGAGACGAATGCAGGAACACTGCTGGTAGACAAGTAGCGCAGTTGATTGCTTGCCTGCATGTCAAACGCGAGCTTCGCAATGGAAATGGCGGCACTCGTAATTCTCTCTCGTGAAACCTCTCGACTGACTCCAGCGAAACTTGTGTCAGGCCCAGAACTAACAGCATGTGGCCTGTGTAAAACGCTCTGAGCTGTCAAGTATATCATATGCAGCAATGCTTGGTGCAATCGAATGACCTGCCCGAAGCTGTCATGTATGACAGGCGGATCAAGCGTGCTCGGCACTGAGCTGTACCTGTATCGAGAGTCCTGGCTCTGTAACCAGTCTGTGAGCTCCTTGTCGCATGCTGCCAGTTCCAGAGCTTGATGTTCCGACTTCTCCGGAACAACCAAGGCTTTCAAGAGGTACTCCGAGCCCGCTGGGTGGCTGCCCATGACAGTGTATTGAGATCGCAGTATGTGACCAAGACAGACGCAGAGCTTGCTGAGTTCTACGATCATACCAGCCAGTACTTCACGGCCCTCATTCTCGGGAAGGACAAGGGAAGACTCGCCAAGAAGGCGACAGAGAGGCTCAGACGGAGCGCTGAGGTCGAAGTCATCAAATGCAAGTATAGGAACGTCGAACTTGTTGCTGAGAGTGCGGGCGGGGCGCCGAATACCGAGGGCAAGAAGCTTGTCGCGCATGACACACGACCACCAAAGCCGTCGCCGCAGGCGCTTTTCTTCTATTGGGATCCTTAAACTTTCGGGGTTGCGGTGCAGTCCGGCGACTTGAGCCATAGTCAGGGCGACACCCATCCAATACCAAGTGTCCTTGTCATCGTCTGGAGACTCGTACCAGTAAGTCATCAGGAGCACAGCTTGGAGCAGAGAGATGCGATCGGGCTCGCAGTCTAACCCATAGAGGAGCCGGACGCGACTAAAGAAGGTCTTCCGTGCCTCTTTGCGGCTATGAAAGCCATTTTCTTTCAAGAATCTGACGTCGACAAAAGCGACGCTAGCAAACATGATTGCCTGGAAGAGAAGAAGGCTGACAGGACGGCTTCCATCGCCCTGCATAATGGACTCGATGAAGCTTTTAACGTCGATGGCAGGCATGAATGGATACACAAAGTTAACGTAGATGCGCAAAAGCTCGTCGCGAAACTCGTCATTCAAGATAGTGAGCGCGCCTTTGTCAGCGAGGTAATCCATATCCCGAGAATCGATTTGGCTGCTGAGAGGACGAATGTATGGCGGCAATCTGTGAGAAGCAGATGACGCTGGCGGTGTATCGTGAATGGAATGGGAAGCTGACATAGGGATCAATATTTCTGGCGACGTCGTTGCTGCCATGGTTGTATCTCCTTCCCTTGAGCTTCGGCCATGCTGGATCTTGGGTTCCTGGGAATACAGTCGGTTTTCATCGGCCGCGTGTTCTGGGGTGCTATTGAGCGGTAAGGGTTGATCTGCAGTCGCAGAACCATATCAGTAATGAGCCAGTATTTGATCGCAACGTAGCAATGCCATGTGACGTAAAATATATACCTTCAAACGAAAGAGATACAAAAAAGTCGTCGGGTACACTTCGCTCCGAGTCGGCGCGCTGCCGTTGTACCGGCGCTGGCGAGATCCGTAGTGGTGATGACGAACCAGGAATTGTGTTTTCCCGGCCTATGATAATCACAGCAGCACCGGAACTTGATATTGCTGTGCCGGAGCTGGCTACGGCCTCGGGTGTCCTGATTTCGTTTTGTGTCGCTGTTGTTTGTGTGGATGTTGTGGTTGGATCCGACGTTGCTGAAGACGATGCCGTTAACGACGCTGTTGTCGTCACAGACCTAGAAGTTATGGATGGGCCCCCGGACGGTCTCCGACCCCGATTGGGCTCCTTGATGATGCAATGCAGACCATCCAGACGGCAGTTCGTGCACGGCTGCCCACCCATGATGACATCGCACCGTACTTTGCGGCTGCGGCAAGACAGGCATGCTTTGGATGAACGACGTTTCGGCACACGATCAATGCTGCAGTCCACCGCTGGGCGCTTTTCAGCTCCCGTTCGGCCGGAGTGCCCAGCTATTTCAGAACTGGTACTGCCCTGCATGGCAGCTGTGATGGAGGGCAAAGGTAGAGGCGCCATTGTCGTAGGGACAATACACAATGCACAGGGCTCTTTGGAAGCAAAAAAAAAAAAAGGTGTCTATCTCTGAAGAGGAAAAAAAGGAACCCTTCGAACTGCGTCAAGAAAGGAAGCACCTTCAATCGTTCCTGTCCCTCTTCAGTTCGAACCAAACAACACGTTTAGATCTCCGCACGGCGACTCCGCCCCCGCACACTAATGCGGGCTCTAAAATAGCTTCTGTACGGGGTTTCTGTATGGGGTTTCTCGGCTGTTGGTCTGCGGTGAAAAATCCACTAATTGTGCAACGCCTTCAGTCTTCCTACGACGTATGTATCTTACATCGAACGCCCCAATATACGGAACATGCTGATGCCTTTTTGGTGCAAAGATAATTCATCTACGTCAGTTGCTCTCATACCAATCGTATATATATTTTACTAAAAGTGATGGACCGCACTATTAATAACCGGGTGTTTCTTTGACAAATGATTCCGTAACAGACGGAAGGCGGGAAAGAGGAGAGCTCAAATTACCCTCGGCAACACTTTTTGATGAGGACGGAGCCTCGGGTATAAAGTACCACTTTGGCGCACTTTATCTGTGGAATATTCCATGCGAAGACTTCCGCCTTGTGGATTTCCCGAGGTCACCTGACCTCGGCCGCCGACATCACTAGATAAGACGAAGCCCTGATCTGAGCGCACACACTGCGCACAGTCTGGAGCTTCAGTCAACCACCCTACGAAATATCATCACTAGATCTTCTGAAGGCCTTCGAGCTTACTACGATACGTGTAACTGGTCCGGACGAATATCCCACAAGGATTAATGTACGGGTCTTACACTGGTATTCGCGCAGACGACTGCGCGTACAGACTAGTGGTGCACGGAGTAGAAGCCACAGCCTATTCACGTAAAAGTCATCTATTACCCACACCTGGAGCAATGTGTCCGTTATTCCGTAGGGCTTGCCAAGTTCGGCGGCTAGGCACGGCATAACACCCAATTTTGTTAGTTTTACGTGGCCGTGCGTTTCTGCGCAGCCGTTACAAATATCACCATATTATTAGCACGTAGTTTTCATACGACGGGCTCTTTTCATGTTGCTGCTTATAAGCACATGCTACACGGTGGTCTTCGCGCGGGGTTTAAGGCGCTTTACTTTCCTGATGCGCTAATAGTATTCTGTACAGAAATAATTCTCCAATTTTACGCGGAGGCACCCACTACGACACTGCTGAAGATTGCTAATAATTCCAATATACCGAGGCGAAGATAGCAAAACCTAGGATAATATTTATAATTGCAGCGATCGAAGGGCATTTTAAGCGCAGTAGTTGGAATATATTACGGGCTATTTTCTTGTCCGGCCATAAAGATGCGCCGGCAAGAGACTTCGGTGTCCCATATGCAGGAACATCCCGTAGGCACCACGAAATAGATCAGACGCGTGCCTATGCCGCCTTCATATCTTTATTGTAGGTCTGTAGCCATTTTTTCTTTAAAATAAGCTCATTTGCCTGATCTGCGAGAAACAGGGCTACTACCCTGAAAAGTCATCAGTATAACCCACAAAAACTGCGGTGTAATACAGAAAAGAGGCATCTAGTGCGGAGGACAACTAACGAATGCGGAGCGATTCGAAAAAAATATGGCCAAAAGTCGCGGTAGAAGCGAATGACGCCCTCTCGGCGGATAACCTTGGCCAAGCAGTCAAACGTGCCCGAGTAATTGGGCAACTCGTTTGCCCTTCCGCCGGTTGCTGTTTGGTTTTGTAGCCGTGTCTTAACAAAGTCGAACGGCAAACTAATAAAGGCACCCGCAAAACCTGCAATGGCTGCTGCACAAGCTATGCGTGCTGGATGCGACATATCCGTGTGCTGTTGGATCTGATGTTTGGACTCGGAAAAAAATGCCAATTGCCCGAAATTGGTAGACATGGCGCGAAAAATTGTAGGCGCTGCACCTTTCCAGAGACCAAGCACCCCCTCCTCCCTTGCAATCCTCCAGATTGCATTGAATGCAGAAGAGTAGTTTCTCTGTTGTTCCACGGGCTTCATGCCGTCTGCTTGCATGCGAATGAGGGCAACTTCGGTCGGGTTTCCGACAAATGCAGCGATGGCACCGGCCCCAAGACCGGCGAGCGCTCTACCTCTAAATCCGAGCGTCGTACCTTGCTCACGGGCCCGCCGTGACAATTGCTGCTCGAACGTCGAGAACAAACCCAGCCTAAGTGTGCCGTAAACCAGCTGCCGGAGGAGGCCCGCCGAAAGACCCTGGTACAAGTTGATAACGCCGCCGCGTGCGACTAGGTCTTTAACAACAGTGGAGACCGATACAGCACCCGTTCCCCGACCTTTATCCAACAATTGCATGCGCACCTTGACGGTGTCTATCGGCTGAATGCATATAGTGGCAATCATGCTGGAGCCACAGGCGACGGAAAATGGTATGCTCGCGCCTATTAGGCCGCCCATATGAGAGGCTCCCAGATCAGCTGTCCCCATTGTGACATAAGAGGATACTCCCCAAATGATAATATTTAGGGGCCTTATACTAGCTACTTATGCTGTTTCTATGAAGTCTTTACTTGGACGTAACCCTCTTGTACTGAGCGGTAACCTCGGGCCGGTACTGAATAGCATTTTGGTTCGAAACTAAAGCGGTACTCCATACCGGTCCAGAGCAATTAGAGAGAGCCAAGTGACCTCGGTGTGTGTGGGTCGGTGGGGGAAGGGGATAGGCAAAGCCTCGGTATAACAAAACGACGAGTAAAAAAGCATGGCTAAGGTTGAATGATAAAATAGGCATGCCATCTTTACTGGTTTATGGTGAGTATACGTCTGCACGAGATCCAATTTATGAAAAGACCAAAAACACGAGACATATGATATAACAATGGGAAACCATTTCCTGAGCCCGACATGGGCGTTGTCTTCCCGCTTTCTTCGAGGCAATACGAAGCTTTTTGAACGCCCATCATTTATGCGATTTTCTGCCACCCTCAGGGATAGCAGGACGAGACGAATCTACAGTCGCGCTACCGACTTCTTGTCTATCAATCAACCAGAATGGACTGATGCACAACGATCGGTCCGCGAGGCTATCGCAAAAATTTGCTCCAATTACCCTGACGAGTACTGGCTTGAAAAGGATACGGAGCATCAATTCCCATGGGAGCTATACACGGACTTAGCCTCAAACGGGTGGCTCGGAATCTGCCTTCCAGAGAAATACGGCGGGTCGGAGTTGGGAATTTCAGAGGCGGCTGTCATGTTACAGACCATATCAGAGTCGGGTGCTTGCATGAACGGCGCATCTTCGGTCCACATGAACATTTTTGGCCTCGAGCCTGTTTCCAAATTTGGTCGCGAGGACCAGAAGGAACGCTGGCTCGTACCTCTGATACAAGGCAAACAGAGAGCTTGCTTTGGCGTTACTGAACCAAACACTGGACTGGATACTTTGAAGCTCCAATCTTCAGCTCGACGAGAGGGCGACCATTACATTCTTAAAGGCTCAAAGATTTTTATATCGTCGGCTCAGGTTGCCGAAAAGATACTGATTCTTGCTCGGACAACACCCATCGAGGAAGTGACCAAACCGAGCCAGGGTCTATCTCTATTTTACACAGACTTGAATCGAGACTCTGTGCAGATCAACGAGATTCCCAAGATGGGTCGGTCAGCTGTTGATACTAATGTACTGCTCTTTGATGGATGGAGAGTCCCTGCAGACGATTTGATCGGGATCGAGGGTGATGGTTTTAAGATGATCTTGCATGGTATGAATGCCGAAAGAATTCTAGTCGGAGCAGAGGCATTGGGAATAGGATATGCTGCTCTGAGAAGGGCAAGCACATACGCCGGGGAGAGAGTCGTGTTTGGAAAGGCAATTGGGTCCTACCAGGGAATACAACATCCTCTGGCAGAGTGCTGGATGAATCTCGAGAGTGCGAGACTCGTTATTTACCTGGCAGCCCGCCTGTATGACCAGGGATACACCGATGGAGAGTATGCGAATGCAGGTAAATTTCTCGCGTCGGAAGCTGCTTTCAAAGCCGCCGAGAGGGCAATCATGACACATGGCGGCATGGGGTACGCTAAGGAGTACCACGTGGAACGGTATTTGAGGGAAGCGACATTATCCCGAATTGCCCCTGTTAGTGCAGAGATGATAAAAAACTACATCGGGCAAAGGGTGCTTGGCCTTCCAAAGAGCTATTAAGATTAAGGCTGGTGTCTGTTATGATAGGCCGATATATGTAATATGAGGCTTGATCTTTGCACATAACGGTTCAAAGTATTACTGTTTTTCTAAGTACTGGCAATTGCGCCCTGAAGCGGTATTACGCATGCTAAGAAGGCACGGAGTAAATGGAGGTGGAGTAGGGGTTGCGTCTAATGATAGCGATGCCGAGTTATTGCATGAAAGGTTGCCGAGGTAGCAATATGTTGGTGGAAGTTGGGTATGGAATTAGGAAAAACCTATTAAATTATTTCATAGTTTATAAGTATCTGTCCTACACCCAAAAATGTCACCTACGTAATTCGCTTGCTTGACCTAAAGTACCGAAACCGGCTTCTTGACACCAACAATCACTCTAGATAGCAGGCAATTCTTTTCACGAAGTTCCTTCAACATAAAGCCGTTCGCCAGTCAGAACCTGTCATATACGAACATGAGGCCGCCTATAACTAAAACGAGCTGTATTTTCCGCCGATCCGAGATAGTACTGAGCCTGCTATTAGCTAAAAAACAGATTGCAAAAATGAGAGGAAAACAGTCTCGTCTTTATTCTGTTGTGCCTACTACAAATTCGACAGAAAACCCGGGATCACTGAGGGGCCTTCGCGTTTTAGATCTATCGCGAGTTCTAGCTGTGAGATCTGCCAACTGGCCAAGCTGAAAGAATATGGCTAACATAGTATAGGCCCCTTTCTGCACTCAAATCTTGGCGGACTACGGTGCGGATGTCATCAAGGTTGAATCTGTTGGGAAAGGGGTAGGATTTTGCGATCCTTCTTCTTTTTTCGAAATCACAGAAAACTGACAGAGGTGTACGACTAGGATGATACCCGACACTGGAAAATGCCAGGCGAGAACTCAGCGTGGAAGGAAGAAGCTGGCCCGATGTCCAATTATTTCTCGTCAGTGAACAGAAACAAAAGGTCTATCACTCTAGATCTAAAGTCTGAAAAGGGGAGGGATATTTTGTTTCGGTTAGCAAAAAAAGCAGATGTCGTGTGAGTCGATGCGCTACCTCTCATCAGAGGCCATATAACTTACTAATCACCGCGCAATTCTCATGCTCAGGATAGAGAACTTTAAGCCTGGAACAACAGACCGTTTAGGAATTGGATATGAACGCCTGAAACAAGAAAATGACTCTTTGATCTACGCAAGCATTTCTGGTATACTATAAATCCTTTTACCTAGCTTTAACCAACAAAACCATCCAAAACAGATTCTTCTCATATAAGCTGACCAGAGCACCACAGGGTACGGCAACAGTGGTCCATTTTCTGATCGGGGTGGATATGACCCGATTGCCGCAGCAGAAGCTGGACTACTCCACGTGACTGGGGAGCGAGATGGACCACCCGTTCGTACTGGTATCGGGATGGTTGATTTGTCTACTGGACTATACATGCACGGTGCGATACTGGCCGCGTTATATTCCCGGTCGCGCACTGGCCGTGGTCAACGGATTGATGGGTCACTATTTGAGACGCAGGTTAGCTTGCTCACCAATGTTGGCCTGTCGTGGCTAAACCTAGGCATTGAGGCCCAACGTTGGGGATGCCAGCATCCTAGCATCGCACCATACGATGCCTTTGAAACCAAGGACACGTACCTTGTCTGTGGGGCCACCAACGATTTACAATATGCTTCCCTTTGCAAGCTGCTGGGCCTACCAGAGCTCATTGTTGACGAACGATTCTTGACGAACCCCAAACGGGTAGAAAACCGCGAGCTATTAACTCCGTTGTTTGAGCAAGTGCTCAAGACCAGAACTACTGCCAAATGGGTCGAAACGTTCAAGGGAACTGGCCTTCCTTTTGCACCGATTAACAATATTGAACAGACCTTTGCCCATCCCCAGGCCAAGGCACGAGACATGATTGCAAAGGTGCCTTTCGATGCTACAGAATCTGGAAGCATTCGTCTCATTGGCCCGGCTGTCAAATTTAGTGGAACTAGAGCAACTATTAGAAGTGAGCCTCCTCGGCTTGGACAACACACAGAGGAGGTATTGGCTGAGTGCGGGCTTGAATCTGTCGAAATCACATCCCTAAGGAAGGCTGGTATTATCTGAATAAAACTACACCGAACTTGTTTCTTTTTGCAGTGGCCTTTCTGTTTTGGTCTTCTTCAAGGTGCTAGGAAAGCGAGCCAGTAAGCTCATTGTGATGGCGAGGTTGGAAAAGCCAATAAGAGGGTAAATTGACCGGATTACAAGACGCTCTTTTCTATTGAAAGAGATAAAAACAGTGTCCGCCTGTTCGAAATGGATGGCGTGTCATTGTTCGCGCCGCTGCTTAGTTACTTTCTGCGTGTTAATGGCTGCTACCACTCAAATAGGCGCAATAAACTATGCCTGTATATACAATGCTTGTGTAGATCTGAAATGGAGTTTACATGTAGATTTATTTTTATGGTTATCAAGTCTGTGAAAGAACAAATATATTTTTTAGTAGTATCCATAATCTAAGCCAGTTTTGAAAAGCTTTGAAGATGTCCGTAGAAATCAACTTTAGCTCAGTATCCATTCGTTTAGTATACCATTAATTCGACACGACCCCCTGCTATTTACTTGGGTCTCTTTAGGTTCTGAAAACAGAATACATTCCTCCCTATTGGCCAAATTGATAAGGGATTAGACATGTTGGAGCTTTCTTTTTACGAATTGCCTCTGCGTATAAACGTAATTTACGGGACTAAGTATTACGGAGTCAAAATCTTCCTCTAAGAGACACGTGTGGAAGCCAATGCAACCACCTGTCAGCAATTGGTGGTGAATGTCGTTAGTCTCACTGTTCTCTGGATTGTACTGGCTTCTTAGCTCCGAAGACAGACCGATTCTTTAAAACGTTTACAGAACGGCGCGGCAACGATCGGTAAAAAATAACCGAGCGCGCCAAGTCCTATCAGCCCGGGCCGCGGCATGTATCTTCCTTGGCATCTAAACTCCACTCACCCGCATCCAGCAAATTTGCCGAGGTGTGTGTGTTGTTAGTTTCTTGGGTCCCTCGGTAGCAGAATTAGCATAACAGCTACTTGCTTCTTTTATTCTGGGTCAATCTACTCCAGAAGAGTTCTAATCGTGATGTCCTTAACTACCGGATAAATCCGGCATCTCCCTTTCGGCCGCTCAAGTTCAAACAGCATGGACGGCAATCTTCTTGTTCGTATGCTAGTTCTGGCCTCGGTTCGCCAAACCAGTTGTATGGTACATCATTCTCGGCTTCATCACATACCGGGCTCGCGTTTACGCCATTATTCTTCGTCACTGCAAAGACTTCATGAAGTCCGTCTGGTTGAAGTTGGGCCTAGAGATGGACTGCAGAATATCCAGGAGAGAGTCCCTACGGCTACCAAGATTGAACTTATACAGCGCCTAGCTGATACCGGCTTGAAAAATATTGAAGCCACATCTTTTGTCTCACCAAAATGGGTGCCGCAGCTCGCCGACGGCGCTAAGGTGTTGGGCTCTGTTCTCGGCTTCGCGGAGCAGATGAGGTTTGAAAAAGAGCCGCTCAATTTTCCAGTCTTAGCCCCTAACCTTAAGGGCCTTGAGAATGCAAACGAAGCTGGCGCGAAAGAAATTGTGGTTTTTGCCTCCGTGACGGAACCTTTCAGCAGGGCCAATCAGAACTGCAGCGTTGACGAAGCATTGCACCAGGCAGAGGCCGTCGCGAAGAACGCCTTGTCATTGGGAATGAAAGTGCGCAGGTGAGTTACATCTCTGTGAAGCTGAAGAATACTCTATGATCAAGTAGGAGAAGATATAATTGCTCACAGTGATAGCGTCATATCTTGCATTTTCTCCGACCCCTTTTCTGGACCAACACGTCCCGAGGCTGTCGTACCCATCGTGCAGCGACTTCTTGACATGGGTTGCTATGAGGTCGGCTTGGGCGACACACTGGGCGTTGGCACACCCGCGGACGTTCAAAAGCTGCTACACGTCCTTCTTCCAGTGGTCCCGGTCTCAAAGCTGGCCGGACACTTCCATGATACCTACGGTCAGGGAATTGCAAACATTGTCAAAGCGTATGATATGGGGATCCGCAACTTTGATAGCAGCGTTGCTGGTCTAGGTGGCTGCCCGTATGCACCGGGTGCCAAAGGAAATGTGGCCACCGAGGACGTCATATACACGTTGGAAAAAGCTGGCATTCATACCGGTGTGGATCTCGAAAAGTTGATCGCGGTTGGCCAGTGGATCTCCAAAGAGATTGGCATTCCGTATGGTAGCAGGGTCGGGGCGGCTCTTACGGCTACGAAAGCTTCTCAAGGCGCGACCAAAAGAGAGCCAATTGGAACAGCGGGCTCCTTACCTGTGAAACCTAGTAGGACATGGGCAATTGTCCAGGATACTGGCGAATACCGACTGTCACGCGCAGGGACATGCATCAAAGTCACGCTAACACGTCCGAAGAACGGCAACGCATTAACGAAATCGATGCTGGAAGGGCTCACGAGCTTCTTTCAGAATGTGGCAAAGGACCCAACTGTCTACCACATTGTTCTGGAATCGGAGGGCAAATATTTCTGCACCGGCATGGATCTAAGTGGTAAAACCAAAACATCTGACATGTCGGCTGAGAGAAGTTACTATGACAGGGTTTTTGCCTTATACGACGCCATCGATCACGTCCCACAAACCACTATCTCCGTCGTGGATGGCCCCTGCTTCGGTGGAGGAGTGGGTCTCACGTTTGTTTGTGATGTTCGCCTGGTCTCTCAGCGAGCTCGGTGGACCCTCAGCGAGATAAAGATAGGCGTGAGTCCGGCCGTGATCTCTAAGTTTTTGGTCCGGGAATGGGGCCCCTCAATGGCACGTGAATGTATGATCTCGGGCCGGGAGATTCAACCGGAAGAGCTTGCTCGGGTGGGCGCAGTTCATGCCGTTGTGAAGGACTCAGAGTTGTTGGCCGACCAAGTTGACGCATATCTTGACCAGTTGGATAGATGTGCGCCGCGGTCTGCAGCTATCAACAAGAAGCTCTCTCGGCTAGGGTGGGACGCACCCGAGAGTGTAGCGCAGGCGGAGCTTATCAAAAGCACGTTTGCATGTATGATGGCACCGAGTTCGGAAGGCGAGCACGGAATCCAGCAGTTTCGAAAAAAGCAGAAAACTTTCAGTTGGAGAGAATTTTGGGCTGACCGAAATCCGTACAAGGGTTTTAATCCCTGAGTACGTAGTATAGATACTATAAAAGGGTAAAACATGCAAATTGAACAAGCCATCACTACAGCCACCAATTTGTAAAGATGTAGGGTTAAGCCAGTGTAAAGTCGACCTGTAATCAACTCGCTCAAAACCAACTGAATTTATTGCTCCGCTGTGTTTGAAGACGGAAAATATATTACCAAGTTAAAAAATAGGATGAAGGAACAATCGAGGAAAATGCGATATATTAGGTTTTCCACTCTCCAAATAATTAAGATACATTTTAGGCTGAATTATACGTATTAGTATTTCCGATCTCAAAACGTCCACATCCTAGATATAGGCCCCGCGTCTTGAAAGAAAAACATCTTTAGAAGACGATGTCACCATCTTGGGATGGGAAAGGGGTATAATGGTTGCGTGATTCCATTCTGGCACGCGATTGCAATGCAGGTGCTTTTTGCGGCGAATTGTCAGAGGACCACAAGGGCACAAGCTTGTGTAGAGACATGTTTAGACAGCCGCACTATCAGTCAAAGGTGCAGGAGCCGGGACCTGTGCCTTTTCGGCGAATTCACCGTTGGCAATAGGTACACGGCCATACTGAGTAAAGACGATATTCAGCTTGTTGTAATCCCAGTTTCGAGCCAGTGTCAACGTGAGGAAGGTCAATCCAGGGATCAAAAGCACGTCAAGAATGCCGTAAAATATGAAGCTGGCAGTCACTCCGATCTTGTTGCCAGCGTCGCTCACGCCAAAAGCGATAGGGTACAACAGCCACAAGAGGTTAGTCCAGCCAGCGAGGATGCAGTAGTCGCGAACAATGCCTACACGGCGAGCAGCACGGAGACCCTCATATAAGGTGCCAAAGGCCAGCAATATCCAGACAACGGTGCCGACAGTGTAGTAGCCCCACTTGTATGTAGTAGCGACAACAGAAGTGGCGAGGTAAGCGATGATCCAGGTCCAGGCAAGGAAGATGTGGTATATGATGGTGGCCCACGACACTCCAGACATTAGGCCCAGGCTGAGAGCGACAGAGGGGAAAAGCACAACCCAGTTGATAAACTTTGCATAGAACATCTGTCGGGTAGCGGCAAAGTCCTTGTTCTCAAGGTTGGAGATAGCTATCCAGCCAAAGTCAGAGGCCATAGTAAAGTATGCGATGGAGCCGACAAGAAGAGCAATGCCGTAAATGTAGTGGAAAACCTTCTCGCCAGCTCGGGCGAAAAATGAGTGGAGAACCACAACGATCTAATTTATATTAGTTCGTTTCGCTTGTATTCACTTCTCCTTAGGCTTGACTTACAAATGAACAGGCATATATGGCAAACACAGTCCAGAGCCAGTCTGAACCGTTAACTGTGAGATGCTGATCACCGCTTGGCGGATTGATTCTTAGAGCATCATTGGACCGGAATGTGATGACAGCCATGATGATGACTGGGCTGAGCAAGTGCCTTTGACAATTTGAGATGGGGGAAATGCAAATGATTTTCAAAAAAGGCCGAGGAATTCTTGAAGTATGGGATTCCGCTTGATATGTTGTGTCTGTGTACTTATCGAGCAAAGGAGGTATTGTGAGGTTGGAATGAAAATATTGGCTAGGAAAACAAGCCGGAATCATAGGGGCAATTGGTGAGTTTTATAGATGCCATAGCATTGTTGTAAGTCGTGCGAAACATGGTCGCAAAAAAATCGACGTCATTGAGTAGGACAAAAAAGGCTGGGACACCTTAGCTTCAATGTCGGGCAATGTGTTTTTTCGTCTGCTGCCCTCCCCGGGAGCTCCGCAGATCACAAAGAGATGTCCAGAATGGGAACTGTCAGCCCATTCAAGCAGCAATTAAAGAACAAAGTTTTCGTACACGGTCCGGCGTCCGGAGCTTCATCGTCCCATTGTCAGGCTACCGCTCCCGTATACGCCCGACTAAGCTTTCCTATTCGGGGGGCTTTTAGCCTACGTCCGTGCAAGTGTCGGCAGCCACTCGTCTCTGATTGGCACTCTTATCGTCATTAACTTCCCGCAGCCCCACCTAGAGCGCACGGTTTCTCACGGATTCGTCGGCACTTGCGGAGCAGCTTGTAAGATAGAAACAATGTTGTCACGAGATCTTTGCTATTCACCCCGCAGGTGTTTTTTTTTTTTTTTTTTTTTTCGCAAGTCAACGGTCATATGGTCAGATGCCCGGCAATTTATCTGGATCGGCAAAAGCTGGCACCACTCGCGCGGCCAGCCGTGGAAATGTTACCATCGCACTTGTAAGAGGATAATGTGATATTAAGAAAGAGAATTGATTCTTTACAATTCTAAACTCCGATGGTTTTTCAACGCGGGCAATTAAATACATACGACGTAAGATATAAAGTAGCTAGAAGGCAGCTCTCCTTGCAAGCACTCTGTACTCTGTATAGCGTACGGAGTACGGAGTACAGAGTAAGATACTCCGCACTCACTACTCCGTATGTGGGACTATTTTAAGGTTCGCGCCCCTTTTTATGCCGGTTTATAACCGGCTATTTCCGACTACTCTTTGTCAAGCATTGGAATCCGCCCCACTTGGACGTACGGGCCTGTGATTGGTTATAAGGCACAAAAGCGGGACATGGCACTAGTATTAATACGGATCCCCAGAAGGGTCGCGATGTATCTATTTCTTCCTTAGTACACAACACTCCTTTGCCCACACTAGACCCTATTTAGCCTCCTACTCCTTACAGTGCATTACGTTATATAACCGCTACGTATAACCTTCTTTAACCTTTATAGGTTATAAGCCTAGCCTATAAGGACTAGGAGAAGCTAAATAAATAAACCGAAAAGCCTTTATAATATGCTTTGTAAAGCACTTAGTGCTTTAGGCACTAATCTAACGGACGAAAGAGCTTTGTTAAAATTACTAGGGTTATATTTGTAACCTTACCTAGCTAGAACATAACTCTTAGTGGTAGACTAAGTAGTAGACCTTTAATTGTTAAATTAGAATTAAACGCTAAGTTTAAGTTAAGCATTAAAAGCAGTATTTACGTAGCTAACAAAAATACCATTTATAGGGCTAAGCTTAATAAAGACACTTAAAATAACAAAAACAACGCTAGTAGTAAAGAACTTAATTAGTAGTTATAAGCTTTTAAATTCTTTTATAATCTATAAAGCTCTAGAACAAAGCGCACTATAATCGTTCGAACTAATGCTAGCAACGCGGCCTCTTATTAGTTAGACAGATAAAAGTAGAGACTAGCCCTAGTAAAATCTCTGCACTAGTAAAGGCGCGCTATGTACTCTCTCCTAGCTAGCTATATACGCAGATTATTAGCTATATCGTAAAGACCCTACACAGTGCACCGCTACCCCTGCTATAAGCATTAGTTGTGATAGGTTATAAGCTTAGATACTGCATTTAGGTTTGTTACGGTAATTTGCGTTATCTTATAATAATTTTTACTTTAAGGCATCTTTTCTTTGCCTTTAGGCTTTATTTTTCACCTTAAGGCATTACTTTTAAGATTGTTAGCATTGCGCGGCATCTTAGCTTTATTAACTAATATCTAGTTTATCTAAGCTTAGTAAGACTATAACTTTACTTATATGCTAGCATTTAGCATTATTTTTTTTACTCTTATAATTCTATACTAGGATTAGCTTTTATTAAGACTTTTAAATAAAAGGCAGCTTATTATCGAATTAAATTAATAAACTAGCAATAAACTAGCATCATTTTAAAGCTTAAAACTAGATAAGGTTTAGTAGATGAGACTGCTTAATATCTTAAGCATCTTTATTTATTCCCTTTTTATCTTTAAAAAGAAAGGCTTTTTAACTTTAATTAGTTAATAGCTATTAAGAAGACTAGTGTTGCCTTATTTAGTAATCTTATAGTAAAGCGTTTATTTAGACTATAAACGCTTACTAGACGTCTTTTTAAAGCATTAAGTCTGCCTTTTAATAAAAGGCTTAATTAAACCGTTAACTTTATTTTAAAAGATTATAAAAGTAAATATAAATTTAAGAATAGACTAATTTTTTAACATTTATAGGCTTAATAACAACTATAATAATAATAATAATAATAAGCTATACTATTTAAAACCTTATTAGCAGCTAGTATAGCATATATTTAAGTGTTAGAGTAAGCTTTAAATCTTTTCTTAAAGCATTGCTTAAAGTAAGTGCTTAAATTAATAAAAGTAAAAAAAATAGAATAAGTAGGATAAAGCTTTTAAAAAAGGGCTAGGCTTAATTAAATTAACCTATATTAAGAAAGTAGCTACCTTAATACATAAAGCTTAGTATAAAATATAATACACTATAAAGATATAAGTTAGCTTATTACTTTAAGGTTAGATTAAGAAGGACACTCTTCTTATATAAAAATAAGAATTAAAGTAATTACAATAACTATATATAAAGGATTTAGCAGTCGATTTTAGTTATAAGCTTTATACCTTACGTTAGCGCAACTTAAAGAAAATAAAGGAGTAGTTTAAGCGAATAAAGAAGGGTTTTTATAGGTATAAGACTTACGCTAACAGCTTTTTAAGTAAGCTTAAAGCTTTTTATCTTATAAGCGCTGTTTGTAAGCGTATTATAGCGCTAAACGTAGAGGTAATAGATTAATAGCGTTTAAAGTTTGTAAAGCTAGCTGGTAACAAAGTCTATAAAGCTACTAAGCTTTTTTATTATAACTAAGTATAAGAATAAGGTAGTAATTCCTACTAATAAGTATAAAGATAGCAATAAAAATAAGAACTAAAATAAGAATAAGTTAGGCAGTAGTTAGAAAGAAGATAAAAAGGCAAAAAAAAAAAAAGGGTAAAGACTTACTTTAGCCTTAAATGCAGTTATTATAATTAAAACGGTTATATAGTTAATTACTATTAAAAAAGTACCTTAAATTAAAATTCTTTTTAATAGTAGTAATAACTACGTTAGAATAAGAGATTAAAAATAAAGATTACTTTCTTAAGTATGTTTTTTTACAAAAAGACTCTTTAATACTTAACTACTAAATAATAATCTAATAAAACGTTTTAATCAGTAATTATAATCTAACTAATAATAAAAATAAAAGGGCATTACTCTTTTTGCTAGTTAGTAAACTAGTAAACGTCTTTAATAAGACTACTTAGCTTATTATTAGCCGCGTTAAGTATTATAGACTTTTTTATAGCTAGTCTAATAATAACTAGCTATTTAATATAAAAAAAGATATATACGTTATTAATAACCTTTAGTAGTTTAATCTTAACTTTATAAAACTATTATAAGTACGCTTTATTATAAAAGGTAGCCTAGTTGCCGTAGCTTTTATAGGTATAGTATCCTTAAGTCGTATTTAACTTAGTAAAGAGTATATTATAAGACTTTATAAAGTATACTATATCCCTTTCTTTTTACTAAATATTATTTTTAAGTTTACGCTTCTACTATAATGGTAATTACCTTATAAGCACTAAATTCTATAATGCTTAAAAGCTGTAAACAACTAAACTTAATATTTAAAAGACTAGCTTTTTTCTTAATATCTTTAAATTTAAGCTAGTAGGCGTTTCTTTTATATAAAAGAAAAGCGTATTATATATAAGCATTATATAAAATATAAGTAACTTAAAAGCTTTATATAGTCTTTAAGCAAGCGCTAAAGACTACGTTTAATTTACTAAAGACTAGGTTATTTATCTTAAAAGGCGCTTGAAAAGATAATAAAGCAAGCTAAAAAAAGCTTTATACTACTAAAGTATATTATAAAGAATAACAAACTAATATACACTTTATATAAAAGGGCTAAGGTGTAATAGGCTATAGCTTAATGTAAGTCCTTAGCTTTGCTCTTAGCCTAGAATAACTAGGTTAGCCAAGCTACATAACCTGCTATGCACTTTGCAAAAGACTATAGTAGGATACCTTAATTAAACATAAAAACTAAGAAGCGCTAGTCTACCTTTTTAAGCCTTTACCTTTTAGCTATAGACTACTCTACGCTATACTTGCTAGTAACTTACTTAGACAGGAAGCAAGAGCTAGTTAGAAGGGACCTAGTAAGGTATAAAGGGAAGGAAAGAGTTATTTAAGAAGAAGGGAAGTAAGCTTAATTATATAAATATCTTTCTTCTTCTTTAGCTTAGTTTAACTAGTTTAATCTACTTAATAGCAACTTATTCTATTAGGCTAAACCTTTATATAAGGCTAAATATTTTAAGCTAAAAGATTTACACAGCATTCACGCTTTTAAACTAAGAAAGGCATACTATATTAACCTAGGTAACTTTAAGTATATAGTACTAAGAGGTATTAAATATTTTTTAGTAATTAAAGATAAGTTTATAAGTATATTAAAGGTGCTTACGTATAAGTAAAAGTTAAAAGCGCTACTTATAATTAAAGCAGCAATTAAAAGAAATATAAACGTACTAAAGTATGCTTTTTTATAAATT